ATGGATAAGTTTCCAGCAACAAATTCCAAACATTTTTAAACTAGATTAGCCAAAGAACAAAGTCAGCTTTGCTTGCTTCACCCATCAAACAAGGCTTGAACAAACAGAGTTCTTGCAATATATCCTCAAATAGAACAAACTGGAAGAGGCAAATAGGTTAAGTTGCATTAATCTTCTCCCCTTAACTATTTGAATACATCAGCTCTGACCTTTATATGTAAACTACATGTTCACCTACCATTTAAAGAAAAAGATTTTTCAGCCTGTTTTTTAAATGTGAAGGCAATACACGGCGTTTTATTTATACAACCAGAGGAGGAAAAAGGACTGTTCTGCACAGGACTCTTGCTCATGCACTTCTCATTTGGCTGTTTGCAGATTCTGCTGGCAAGGTCATCACCCTCCCATTTCATTTCTGTGTTTAACCAGCACTTTCAGCAACTTTATTTTAGAGCAGGGAAAATGCAGTATCAAATTGTGAAGGACAGCACTTTTTACTAGTGTATCAGGGCTATTCTATGATGGTACAGTGCCACATGGAGGTTATATTGCAGAAAAACAGGACAGGAAATTCCGGGTAGCACTCAGACCTCAGTTCTGTGATGAAAGCTAAAGCAGATACAATGTACAGCCTTTTGCAGGAAACTTGAAAAGCATTTAATACTGATCTAAGCTGACTGCCAGGTTCACAATGTTGTTGTTATTTTCCCCTCCTACACCCAACTTTATCTCTTCAGAATGGTTATTTCTAGCAAAGGCTTTGCCTCGCTGTGGCCTGCAGAAGAGATAATGAGCAGCATGGCACTGACAGGCCAAGACAGGGTGCCACTGTTCAGTATTCCATTTTGGGTTAAGACAATATCAGATTTATTCACCAATAATACATAGGTATGGACATGAAATGTAGGCTGATATAATTGTTCAGCCTCAGTCAATACTTCCAATCATACAGGCAGCTCAACAGGACCAAACCTGCATTCTATTTCAATTGCCTACACAGCTGTGCCTCATTTTATTGCAGTTTTCTTTATTGTACAGCAGGTTTGTGGCAACTTTGTGTCAAACAAGTCTATCGGCACCATTTTTCCAACTGTATTTGCTCACTTTGCATCTCTGTGTCACATTTTGGTAATTCTCACAATATTTCAAACTTTTTCATCACCATATTTCTTATGGTTTCTTGCAATGGAATGCACTCCTTGGGAAGATGCTGTGAAGTTTGTTGAAATGACGACAAAAGGTTTAGCATATTACATGAGCTCAGTTGATAAAGCAGTGTCAGGGTTTGGGAGGACTGAGTCCAAGTCTGGAAGAAGGTTTCCTTGGGTAAAACGCTATCAAACCCCATCGCATGCCACAGAGGAGTCTTTCGTGAAAGAAGAGCCATCAGTGCAGCGCACTTCCTTGCTGCCGTATTTTGAGGAATTGCCTCAGCCGCCCCAGCCTTCAGCAACCACCACCCTGGTCGTCAGCAGCCTTCCACACCGAGGCAGGACCCTCCACCTGCAAAGAAAAGGGTGACTGGTGAAGGCTCAGATGACGGTTAGCATTTTTTAGCAATACAGTGTTTTTTAATTAAGGTATGTACATTTTTAAAGACATAATGCTATTGCACACTTAACAGACTACAGTATAGTGTAAATGTAATTGGGAAAGCAAAAAAATTGTGTGACTTGCTTTATTGCAATATTTACTTTATTGTGGTGGTCTGGAACCAAACCTGAAATATCTTCGAGGTATGCCTGTATTTCCATGAAGTCATAGCTGGCAACATAGATTTAGCACACAAAGCAGTAAATGGCAGAATGTTATCATCAGGACGAACTGATCCAAAGTTACAATTAGCCTGTCTGTCCAAGTCTGCAAAACAAACATTTTCTTGCCAGTTTTAAAATCTGGATTTCCCCATAAAGTTAATTTCACATATGAAAATATATCCAACCACAACAGCCTTGAAACTGCATGCCACAACTCTCTAGCTGATACAACTGAAGGGGGTACACTATCTATTTTGTTATGATGAGAGTCCAATGCAAGCCACTTGGGCAGAGGATCCAGAAGTAAAGATTTCAAAAGTGACCAGGTAGAGGAATCTAATCTAAGCGGAAAAGACCAAAATTGAGTACAAATCAACATTCAGGAATGATAGTGTTAAAGAATGGTGTGGGAGTCCAAATCCACTCTCTCTGATCAAAACTGGCATCCTTGTCAAGGATATTCATGGTGGAGTGAAACCCCATAAAATTCACAAATCCAAACATTAAGTTTCTGGAAATACTTGCCAGATATAAATAAATGAATACCATGTAAAATAAAAATAATTTGAGGTATTACATTCATTTAAGTATGTTTACTCTGCCCTATAGACTTTATAGATTCTTGTCTATGTCCCTCAAGACCTCATTAGTTAGTCTACTTAAATTTAATTTAATTATTTGTGATTTGTATTTGGGACAAATGTTCCAAGATAGGTAATAAACTTAGCATAAAGTCTACAGTGACAACGGGATAACATACTAAGGTTGCATTTTCTCCAATAGACACAAGTTCCTACTTTAAATAACCAGATATACATCCAAAATCATTAATTGCCTGCATCAAAGCCAAAACAGACTGATGAAGTTCCAGCATAAGCAACAGAAGAACATCAGCATAAAGAATAAGTTTATATTCTAGAGCTATATATTCTATATGTATTCATATATATGTATATTCACATATAAATTATATATATATACACACACACACACACACACACACGCACATAGCCTTTTAGTTCTTTGTAACCTGCCCAGAGAATGTTGATTATTGCAAAGTTTACTAAGTAAATAAAAGGGAGATCTGTTACAGGCCACTGCTCTTTGATACCCCAAAGACTACTGCTCTACACAGGTCCCTTCCTGCCACTATTGTGGGTAGCTGTGGTAATGTTTTCTAGATTTTGGGGGTGTTATCCTCCTTCCTCTTAGATTATGGGCTTCTTCAATTGCTGGCATGTTTTCTTTCTAATACACAGTGGTACCTCGGCTCACGAACGCCTCAGTTCACAACCAAATCAGGTCATGAACAGAAATTTTAGAAAAAATTTGCCTCACGTTGTGAACTCCACATTGGGTGAGGATCGCAATCGCGCCTGTCTTCCCTGCATGGTCGTGCTTAATACACAGTATTAAGGTAAAAACGATATATGCAGTGTTATTTTCATTTTAGATGTCAAAAGGGTTTTGCGGCTCCTGGTGTTTTCTTTTGTGTGGGAAATGGGCCCAAATGGCTCTTTGAGTGTTAAAGGTTGCCGACCCCTGGTCTAGGCCATCTTGGAGAATGCCTTCATTTCCCTGGCTGAAGAGGGAATAGGCGTCTTGAGAAGCTGTGCAAGCCATGCAAAGAACTGCTCTCAGCATACTTCGCTGCAGTGCTGTCATTCCGAAGTGGCACTGCGTCCCCACTGGAGCTCCTAATGAGTTTTATTATAGAGATACTAAAAAGCAGAGCAGATTTTACTGGACATTCCCCCTGCACAGTAGCTCTCTGTGCGCTTGTGCAATGGCCATATGGCTCCCTTCAGTGCCATTACTAGCCAAATATTCATGGCTGCCCCATTTTATTTGTTGTTGGTGTATTATAGTTGTTGGTGTATCCAAGGAGCACGCATGAGTATCTTCCCCATATCCACTTTATCTTAACAACAGCCCTGTGAAGTAGGTTAGCGTGAGAGTCAGAAAATCACCGAGTGACTTCATGGCTGAACAGGGACTTGGACTAGATTTTCTGAGTTCCACCCAGTCCAGCAGTCTTAAGCACTGCACCACACCGGTTCAACCCCTTCTCTTCTTTTCTGCAGGATGGCAAGACCAAACCATGGAGAAGCCAAGCCTTGCTTGGACATGAATTCTGGGCTTCTAAGGAATGCAGCCTATGCCAGAAGACTAGCAGGACACTTCTGACAGCGCTCGCCATGACAGGCATGCCTCACAAGGGCATGTCTGGCAGACACGCACACTGTCTCCAAGCCACTGAGAGGCCAGCATGAGCAACCTGGATTTGCTCACAGAAACCCTCCACACCTGAGGAAACCCCCACGGGCAGGTACCGGCCCACGTCACTACATCAGTGGGTGGGAGGGCCAGTGTCCCCTCCTCAAACCTGCGTGCCTGGCGTTGACCAAAGCACATGCAGCACTCCGTCTCAGCAAAACTGGCACCCCACATGCTTTTGTGGGCTTGTGTTTTCACCATGCTGGACTTTTTGGCACTTTGAATTCTGTGTTTTATTTTGATATTTTGTTAAATTGATTTTACGCTATGTAGGACAACCTAGGAATAGCTCAGAGGAGGCTTACTATAAGAACTTTAAGAAGAGCCATGCTGGATCAGTCCACAGGTGCATCTCCTCCCTCATAAGCAGGACACGAGTGTCATGGCCTGTCTAACCCGAGAGCATAATGCTAAGCAACTCTAATAAATAAGGAGATAAAATAAGCTTCCCGGCAACTGGTATACAGAGGCGGACCTCTTCGATCCTGGAGGTGGCATTGGCCGTTGATCGCCTTCTCCATGAAGTTGCCCGACCGCCTTCAAAGCTTAGTGGCCCTCTCAGCATCCTGAGCAAGCGGACAAATCTGTACTTTCCTTCGTCTGTCCTCAATCTTTCGCCATTCAGTGTCATGGGAAGCTCACGGGTCACTACTATTGTGGAGGGGAACAGTGTCTGTCTCCCTATCCGTTTTCTCCACAAGTCCAAGCAGTTGCACGAAGAGGCAGAAACAGGTTACTCTGCCCTACCCGGATCCGAGCGCGAACCCGTCTCTCCCCGCCCTGCTCCGCTAGGCTTTCGCGTTTCCACTTTGAGCAAGCGCCGCTCCGCGCCTTCGATCCGCCTGCGTGCGCTGGGCTCCCCTTCGAGCACAGGGGGCGTGTGCAATAGGCAAGGATCTGCCCTGCCCTCCGTCCCCCTCTTCCCAGCATGCAACCCTGACCCCACCCCTTGCTCCAACCCACCCACCCCCATTTACTTCCACTCCTGTGGGGTCGAGTCTCTCTCTCTCTCTTTCTCCCCCACCGGACTCAGTGCTAGTCGCATCGCAGGGGCATCGTAAGCATGGCTACGGGGCAGCAGTTAGGTAATGCCCTCGCGTACCGCGGCTGGGATCTTTGCCCCGCGCTTTTTCAACGCAGCCTGGTTCCCCAGGTGCTGCTGGTCGGCAGAGTCCGCCCACCTGCAAGCGGGGAGCTGAGCATCAACCCTCTGAGTGTGTGTGGGGAGGGGGTGGGAGGCTCTCCAGTTAGCCCCACTGCGAACGGCAGGAGGGCCCGTGGGGTGGCGGAGACTTCGGCAGGGGCAGTGCAAGCGGTGCTCTTCCGGCCCATTCCGAAGTGCGTCTATGCAAAGGAAATATCTTACTGAGTCCTTTGGGGCTTGCTCCCAAGTACCCGGGCGCAGCATTGCATCGTTCGATCCAGAGAAACTAAGCAAGACGGGTGAAGAAGGCAGGAACATGTATCTGTGCCTTAAGTAGGTGATAGTGGGTGTCCTGTTCCTCGACTACCACTTAAAGCTGCAGGTGAATGGTTGTGTTCCTGAATTCTGCACTGCTGGTGAAGGGCACCCTGGATTTTTTCGGTGCTTTCCCTGCATTCTCTAAGTTTCTGTCCCCACAGGAAGGGTGCTCAGACATGCTGCCCCCAGCTGCAACCTGAAGTGATATACTTTAAAAAAATACTTGCCCACTTGTGCTTGTTCAAGGGGAACACAATGTATAATACACTGGGCCTGAGAGAACTTTCCTTGGAAGATCCTGAACCACATACAGGCAAAACAGCATCTAAATTGCTGTCCTGGGGCAATGTATAAAGCAGGGTGTCATGTGTGGCGTATAAATCAAAATAATAAATCAGTTGGGATTTTGGAACATGTTTTCTCTTGATGGGCTTCCTGAGTAACTTTTTGGAATGACCAGATAGACGTGAGGAAAGGTGTGGGGGGGAGGCAGTCCCCCCTCCTGTCATAAAATGGCTGGCTCTCTTAGGGACAAACTATACATGAGGCAGGAGATCTTAGATCACCTCATTCTTTCTGACTTAGTTTTGAAACTGAAATTGTAGCCCCCATCTTGGTTGGAGTGGTGGCTTGTGGGAGCATCTTTCCCATGGGAGTTGCATCCTACAGAGGGGTAATTCTGGTTTGTATCCACTGATGACACAAATTAGATCAAAGAGACAGCACTGCAACAGAGGTTTTTAGCCCCCTTTCCCACCCACACCTCTGCCACTTCTCCCCAGTCTAAAACTGCCCTTACTCCGAAGGAAACTAGCCTCATTTTGCCTCTTCCTTCTGTGAGGTGCAGGTTGAATTGAAGATACCACGTTCAGTACAGGATGCAAAGTGGTCTCCAATCCCTCCCAGCAGAGGTGCTCTGATAAAATTTGGAGAACCTGTGACTGTTTTCAAGTTTGTTATCAGGAAAAAGACAAGTCGTCATGGATATCTTGCATCATATGTGCTTTGGCCTACATGAGATCAAAGCTTGTAGCTGGCCTTGTTGTGACCAGATGAGAAACACATCTGCCTTTTTCTCTGGCCTTTTTCTTCCTTGCGGGAGTGCATATGAGCATTTGCAGAAAGAACTGTAAGAGGGGAGAAAGTCTTATAGTTAATGACATACTGCTAGAAAGGTAGTTCCCAATCAGCTGTAGTTCTGCCTGCAAACATGTGCATCCAGCTGGAGGAGCACCTACATGGAAAGGTGGGAGGCCAAAGACCCAGAAACTGCTAGTTGCTGCAATGAAAGTCACAGTTCTTATACTGACACTGGCCAGATTTCACAGGTCAGCAACATCTCCAAGTCTCAAGTTCTTTCAGATGTGCTAGACTACAGTTCTCATCTTCCCCAGACAGCATGCTTGGGATAGCATAGTTTCCAGTTCCACTGGTAGAATGATGAACAATTTGCTCTAAAACATATGAGTAAAACCTGCTTGTGTGATGGGGTTTTAAAAACTCTGAAATACCACTTATTCTCTGTGGTGTTTCGGAGTTTTTAAACAGAGCTCTGACTGTACTATCCTTAAATTCAGGACTACAGCGAGCTTAGTTGCAGCTGATGGGCATCCAGCTGGTTCAGTTTTTATTTTTGGTTTCTGCCATGTGTTAAAGAATGATTATATTTCATCTTCCCTCCAGCTTTATTCAGTGTCTCAGACAAGACTGGCCTGGTGGAATTTGCAAAATGTCTCAGTTCTTTGGGTTTGGCCTTGGTTGCTTCTGGAGGAACAGCAAAAGCCCTTCGGGATGCAGGTCTGAATGTCAGGTTAGTTCTATTGAAAGGTTTGATATTGGCAGCCTCTGCTTCTATATTCTCCATCATTGATGGGAATTGGATGTGGCAACTCAAATGTGAATACTAAGACATGGTCTGAATCTATGAAAATAAGCCCTCTGGTTACGCATTCCCTTCTCCTTTTTCTTCAAGCCCTCCATTTGATTAATTGCTTCCTGCTTTGCAACACATAGTTTGCAAATCAGTTTTGATCCAGGTTTGCATGGCAAGTCTAAAGCCACGGTTTGCTGGTTTGGATGTGTTGGCAAACCAGTTCCTTACAAACCAAATGCAAGTAATGATGGGCATCCTGTGAGGATGCTTGTATCCAGGGCTTTTTTTGTCATGCTGCTTGGGATTGGTGTGTGTGCTTACTGCAGCTTGGGATTGGTGTGTGTGCTTACTGCAGTTCCGGCACCGTTTTTTTTTAACAAAGCACTGCTTGTATCCCTCTAAACCCAGAAGCTGAGGCACCATCAGGACAGACCATATCTTGGCAGCCCTGGGCTTCTCCCCTTTCCCTTTCAGCCCCTGTCCTGAGGTTGCTTTTGCAGCTTCAGAGAAACACCCAGCACGGATCTTTCAGCTCTGGTTGCAAGAGGAGCGGGTGCTCTGAATGTGAAGTTCCAGCTCCAACATTAGACCTAGAACTGTAAAAACTCCTGTGGTCCTCTAGATGCTGTCTAGTGGCAATAGTGTTGTGTTGTAAGCAGAGCTCAGAAAGAGCAGTGGGGAGCTGTCTGGACCAAACAATGATTTGGCAGCATACATGGCCCATTCTGTAGTCCCATAGTCAGGGTACGCATGAATCCAAATCAAATGCCAGTCCTCAGGCTTACAGAGAAAGGGTTGCAATTCAGTGGGAGTCAGCAACTTCATATACACTAAGAGTTATTTCTGAGGAAACAAACTGAAGTGTTGGGCTGCAAGACTAAAAAGTGATATTCAGAAAGAAGAATGCATTTTTCAAAGGCAAATTTAAAATTTCACTATTTCGGCATAGTGTCAAGCAAATGTTAGAGCAGGATTTTTCACAATAAATTGAGACATGAACTAAGTAGAAAATGTTACGTGAAAAAATGTTGCAAGTTCACAGAACTGCTGCTCTTTTGGCCCTGTGTGCACATTGGAGTCTTGCATCACTTTGAATTGTTCTTGCAGTTTTCTGTCAATTCCTTTTGTAATGTTAATACTAAATATTTACTATACACATTGCTAAAAACAAGTACATCTTTTGCAAAAGATTTACTCTGAAGTCATTCAGTCTGAACCTATTTATTTATTTTATTTATTACATAAATAATGACATACTCTTATAACAGCTTACATCTTTCTTATAACAGACTCAAAGCAGCTTACATCTTTCCCTTCCTCCTGCTCTCAATCTTATCCCCACAACAACAACCCTGTGGGGTAGGTTGGGCTGAGAGTCTATGACTGGCCCAAAGTGGCCCAGTCGGCTCCATGGCTGAGCAGGGACTAGGACCCAGATTGCCTGAGTCTCATCAGTGTGCTTTTAATCAGTGCACCACACTGGCTCTCAGTGACCCTGTTTGTTTACTTGGAATCAAGGCTGCAATCCTATCCGTACTTCCCTGGAATAAACCCCATTACACATAGAAGGGTTGATGTCAAAATAAATATACTCAGACTTGCACTGCATATCTCACCCAGTTCATTATTTATCAAGCGTAGGAATGTGGCCTGAGCCATCTTGTATAGTGTTACTAGTTGCGAAGTCGCATTCGACCCATCACGACTCCAGGCCTTCCTGTCCTCCACCTTCTCCTGGAGTCCACTTAAGCTCACGCCCACTGCTTCAGTGACTCCATCTAGCCACCTCATTCTCTGCCATCCCCTTCTTTTACTGTCAGTTTTTCCCAGCATTAGGCTCTTCTTCAGGGAGTCCTTCCTTCTCATTAGGTGGCCAAAGTATTTGAGTTTCATTTTCAGCATCTGGCCTTCTAAAGAGCAGTCAGGGTTGATCTCCCCTAGGAATGACCGGCTTGATCGCTTGTGGTCCAAGGGACGCACAGGAGTCTCCTCCAGCACCACAATTCAAAGGCCTCAATCCTTTTGCACTCAGCCTTCCTTATGGTCCAGCTTTCACAGCCATACATTACAACTGGGAAAACTATAGCTTGACTATATGCACTTTTGTTGGCAGGGTGATACCTCTGCTTTTTAGTATGCTGTCTAGATTTGCCATAGCTTTCCTCCCCAGGAGCAAGCGTCTTTTAATTTCTTGGCTGCAGTCCCCATCTGCGGTGATCTTGGAGCCCAGGAAAATAAAATCTGTCACTACCTTCATTTCTTCCCCTTCTATTTGCCAGGAAGTGAGAGGACCGGATGCTATGATCTTAGTTTTCTTAATGTTGAGTTTCAAGCCAACTTTTGCACTCTCTTCCTTCATTCACATCAAGAGGCTCTTTAGTTCCTCTTCACTTTCTGCCATTAGAGTGGTATCATCTGCATATCTGAGGTTGTGGATATTTCTCCTGGCAATCTTAATTCCAACTGGTGATTCATCTAGCCCCTCCTTTCTCATGATGTGTTCTGCATATAAGTTAAATAGGCAGGGTGACAATATACAGCCTTGCTGAACTCCTTTCTCAATTTTGAACCAATCAGTAGTTCCGTGTCCAGTTCTCACTGTTGCTTCTTGACCTGCATATAGGTTTCTCAAGAGGCAAATAAGATGGTCTGGTACTCCCATCTCTTTAAGAACTTGCCACAATTAGTTGTGATCCACACAATCAAAGGCTTTAGCATAGACAATGAAGCAGAAGAAGATGTTTTTCTGGAACTCCCTAGCTTTCTTCATGATCCAGCGTATGTTGGCAATTTGATCTCTAGTTCCTCTCCCTCTTCAAAATTCTGCCTGTACTTCTGGTAGTTCTCGGTCCACATACTACTGGAGCCTAGCTTGTAGGATTTTGAGCATAGCTTTGCTAGCATGTGAAATGAGTGCAATGGTGTGGTAGTTCGAACATTCTTTGGCACTGCCCTTCTTTGGGATTGGAATGTAAACTGACCTTTTCCAATCCTGTGGCCACTCTTGAGATTTCCAAATTTGCTGGCATATTGAGTGTAGCACTTTTACTGCAACGTCTTTTAAGATTTTGAATAGCTCAGCTGGAATACTGTCGGCTCCACTAGCTTTGTTGTTGTTCAGACTTCCTAAGGCCCATTTGACTTCACATTCCAGGATGTCTGGCTCAAGGTCAGCGACCACCCCATCGTGGTTATCAGGGACGTTAAGCTCTTTCTTGTATAGTTCTTCTGTGTAATCTTGCCTCCTCTTCTTACTCTTTTCTGCCTCTGTTAGGTCCCTGCCATTTTGGGCCTTTATCATGCCCATCTTTGCATAAAACGTTCCCTTCATATCTCCAATTTTCTTGAAGAGATCTCTAGTATTCCCTATTATTTTCTTCTATTTCTTTACACTGTTCATTTAAGAAGGCATTCTTATCTCTTCTAGCTATTCTCTGGAATTCTGCATTCAGTTGGGTGTATCTTTCTCCCTTGTCTTTCACTTCCCTTCTTTCCTCAGCTATTTGTAAAGCTTCCTCAGACCGTCATTTTGCTTTCTTGCATTTCTTTTTCTTTGGGATGGTTTTAGTTGCTACCTCTTGTACAATGTTGTGAACCTCTGTCCATAGTCCTTCAGGCACTCTGTCTATCTGATCTAATTCCTTAAATCTATTTGTCACCTCTACTGTATATTCATCAGGAATATGATTTAGGTCACACCTGAGTGGCCTAGTGCTTTTCTCTACTATCTTCAATTTAAGCCTAAATTTTGCAACAAGAGGCTCATGATCTGAGCCACAGTCAGCTCCTGGTCTAGTTTTTACTGACGGTATAGAGCTTCTCCATCTTTGACTGCAATCTGATTTCTGTGTTGACCGTCTGGTGATGACCATGTGTACAGTCATCTCTTGAGTTGTTGGAAAAGAGAGTTTGCTATGACCAGTGTGTTTTCTTGACAAAATTCTGCCAGCTTTTGCCTGCTTCGTTTTGTACTCCAAGGCCAAACTTGCATGTTATTCCAGTTATCTTTTGGCTTCCTACTTTAGCATTCCAATCTCTCATGATGACAAGGACATCATTTTTTGGTGTTAATTCTAGAAGGTGTTGTAGGCCTTCATAGAACCGGTCAACTTCAGCCTCTTCAGCATCAGTGGTTGGGGCACAGACTTGGACTAGTGTGATGTTGAATGGTTTGCCTTGGATTCGAACTGAGATCATTCTGTCATTTTGGAGATTGTATCCCAGTACTACTTTTCCTACTCTTTTATTGACTATGAAGGCTACTCCATTTCTTCTGAGGGATTCTTGCCCGCAGTAGTATACCTGATGGTCATCTGAATTAAATTCACCCATTCCTGTCCATTTTAGTTCACTGATTCCTAAGATGTCGATGTTCAGTCTTGTCATCTCTTGTTTGACCATGTCCAGCTTGCCTTGATTCATGGATCTTACATTCCAGGTTCCCATGGAGTATAGATCTTTGCAGCATCGGACTCTCCTTTCACCACCAGATACACCTGCAACTGAGTGTCCTTTTGGCTTTGACCCAGTCACTTCATTCTTTCTGGTGCTACTAGTACTAGCCCTCCGCTCTTCCCCAGTAGCATATTGGACACCTTCCGACCTGAGGGGCTCATTTTTTGGCGTCATATCTTTTTGCCTTCTGGTACTGTCCATGGAGTTTTCATGGCAAGGATACAGGAGTGGGTTGCCATTTCCTTCTCCAGAGGACCAGTTTTTGTCAGAGCTCTCTGCTGTGACCTGTCCGTCTTGAGTGGCCCTGCACGGCATAGCTCATAGCTTCATTGAGCTACACAAGCCCCTTTGCCATGGCAAGGCAGTAATTCATGAAGGGGTGTGCAGTGTTACTGCTATATAATGTTCAGGTGACTGAAACATAGAATGCTTGCTTAAATGGAGGCAGAGCATTGGTGCCTCTAACTCTTTCTTATCTGTCACCTAGCAGCAACTCTGCAGAGTTCCAGCTGAAGGTCTTTGCCCGCCATACCTAGTGATGCCATGGACTGAGCCAAATATCTTCTGTGTGCAAAGCACATACACTGCTACAGAGTGAATTGATTTCAATTGAGTTTCCATTGATAAGTTTTCCTAAATGTCCTGCACAGTGGTGCAGATCTGATCACAACAGATTTGAACAGAAATTCACTGCCCATGAAAGATAGTTAAAGTAAGGTCTGATAGCTAGAAGTCTGGGAAAAAAAAACATTTTTAATCCACTTGTCTTGAGTTTTGAAAGCCTCTGTTTTGATCCACCTTACTATAGTGTCTTTCTGTCTTAAGTAGCACCTCTGCCTTGCTTGGCTCAACACCACCATCACTGAAACACAGAACAACAATCCTATCTTGCCAGTCTCATTGCATATGAGACTTTAGTTGGGCAAAAGGAAGGCCCAGAACTTCCAAGAAGCAAGAGCTGTTAGTAAGCTAGGTACAGAAACTGAAATTAGTGTCAAGGTTTGATTGGCTGGTAACTTCATTTTGATGAGACTATATGTAAGTGTCGTGTTACCATATTGACTTGTAAAGGGAACAATAATGTAAGATCCAAAGTTTGGCTAATTTGCAGTGCAACATTTCTGTTTGCACTGCAGCCAAGTGGGAGTAAAGAGGCTGGATTCGCTAACATTCAGCTCATGGCATGCCTGGATTCTCCAGAAATGTGGCTTGCTGTTCTGTCAGATTGGAATTGGTACTGTTTTGAAGTCCAAGTATTTCCAAAAAGATACTTTGAAATGCAGGCTAAGCTAAGGCGGCTTTCCTTTCTTAAAAAGAGCCATGTTGTCTTAGTTTTAGGGCACTTTGAATACTCTGTTGAATACTCAAGTTTAGTTTAATTGGAGGGGAAAATGCATTCTTTGTTTATAGTCATGTGAAAGGCATCTAATGCCTATTAGATCTTTAGAAAGGCTGGGACCTCTGCCTGAAAGAAGATGTTGAAAGCTTTTCTGTTCTTTTGATGTAATTGATGTTCCAGATGAGCATGTGCACCATTAAGAGAAAGAAATCCATTAAGATAGAGAAGTATTAAAGTGCTCATTGAAAACTTCAGTAAAAGATTAATCCAACAGTAGGCATCAGATTATTCTCATGCACAGTTGGACTGAATGTGTCCAGGTTTTCCAATCTATTTTCCAACTTCAGGCTGTAATAATTGATTCTGTCACTGTTGTTTCATGCAGCATGCATAGGATTCCTAAAACTATGATAAAAAGATAAATAAAAATAAAATGAAGACATTAATGGAGTAGGATAAGAGAGAATTAGTACAGCCGTGACGCCAGGAAGAAAGTTCCTGCAACCACCATGGAAACTAATGTTCTCTGGCCTCCAAAAATTAAGTAATCTTCTCGTATTACCCAGGAAGGCAGGGATCACATGTGTTTGGTTTCTGCTCTTGGATTTTGTTCTTGTACCTTTGCTCCTGGACCCTGTACGTGCTCCTAGGTACCTGCTCCCTCACACTGTTGCCCTGGCTCTTGATTTCGGGCTTGTGTCTAACTACTCCTTTGTTTTCTGGACTGTGCTTCAACAGATCCTGGTTTGACTTTGGCCTCTTTGATTCTGCAATGGACTTGTGACTTACAGTAGCAACTGGATTCTGGCTTTGACCACCTTGCTTTGTTTCCTGGGTTCTGGTGCATTATCTGTTACCCAGCTGCGCACACCCTGGACACTTACACCAGGTCATTCTTATCCAGGTCTTAGAATCATAGAAGAGCAGAGTTGGAAGGGGCCAGAGGGTCATCAGGTCCAACTCCCTGCTCAGTGAAGAACTCCCAAGTTAAAGCATCCCTCTCAGGTGGCTGTCCAGCTGCATCTTGAATGCTTCCTGTGTGGGAAAACCCACGAGCTCCCCAGGGAATAGATTCCATTGGCATAGTGCTCCAACAATCAGGAAAATTTTCCTGATACCTAGCAGGAATCTGGTTTCTTGTAACTTGAGTCCATTGTTCCATGTCCTGCCTCTGGGATGATCAAAAAGAGATCCTGGCCTTCCTCTTTGTGACAGCCTTTCAAGTACTTGTAGAGTGCGGTCATGTCTCCCCTCAGTCTTGTCCTCTGAAGGTTAAACATGCCCATTTCTGTCAATCTCTTCTCATAGGGCTTTGTTTCCAGGCCCTGGCTCATTCTTCTTACCCAACTCTGAACCCTTTCCAGCTTGTCTGCATTTTTCGTAAACTGTGGTGCTCAGAACTGGATACAGTGTCTCCAGATGAGGCCTGACCAGTGCTAAGTAAAGGGGAACTAGCATTTCAGGTGATTTGGAAGTGGTACTTCTATTAATGCAATCTAAAATAGCCCTTTTTGCAGCCGTATCACTTTATTACATTTATTACAGCCGTATTACATTCAACAATGTCAAGATACTTTTCACTTGCAGTACTGTTGAGTCAAGCATTCCCCATCTTGTACCAATGCATTTGGTGGCATTTGTTCCTACTGAATTTCATTCTGTTCTTTTCAGCCCAGCACTCCAACCTGTCAAGATTGCCTTGAATCTTCTTTCTCCCTTCCAGGGCATTAGCTCTCCCACCCAGTTTTGTGTCATCTGCAAATGTGATAATCCTTCCCTGTTCTTCCTCATTCAAGTCATTAATGAAAATGTTGAAGATAACTGGACCAAGGACTGACTGCTACAGCACTACACATGTTCCCTCTCCCCAGTTAAGAAGTTGCCATTGATGAGCACTGTCTGAGTGTAGCCAGCTGTGGATCCACCTGATCATAATTCCATCTAGTCCACTCTTAACCAGTTAATCACAGGACATTTTGTCAAAAGCTTTGCTGAAGCCAACATAGATAACGTACATCTACAGCATTCCCACAATCCATCAGGGAGGTTGCCAATCAAAAAATGCAATCTGATTAGTCTGGCAGGATTTGCTCTTGAGAAATCCATGTTGGCATCTAGTCATCACTGCATTGCTTTCAAGGTGTTTGCAGATGGAGTGCTTCATAATCTGCTCCAGAATTTTCCCAGGGATTGATGCCAGACTGACTGGGCCTAAGTAACCCAGGTCCTAAGTAAGTTTTTGGTTTGTGGTCTCAAACTGCTATTTTCTAATATGGCAGATTGGTCTTCCATTCCATCCATTTTATGGTGTTGAAAAAGTATCAAGGAAATTTAGTGGCTTTCTGCCTTTTCTTGCTATCTTTGAACAGAGATGTTTCTGATCTTACTGGCTTTCCAGAAATGTTGGGAGGGCGTGTGAAGACTCTTCACCCCGCGGTACATGCAGGTAGGATGATGCTAGCATGCTTCTGACTGTGTAAAATAGATAATGGCTATGTTTTGTGGAGTTTGCATGCCATCTAGGAAAAGGTGGATTCTCTGAAGAAACGGACAGGAAACCTGTCCTGGAGTTGTTTCACTTCAGGCTGCAGGTGAGGACTCATGTCACTGAATGCTCCCCTCCCACAAAGCAATTCCCTTTTCATAGAAAACTAGGATGTCAGGAAGAAGGATTCCAGCCCTTCTTCATGGCATGGTGTTTATTATGTATAGAAATTAGAACTAGGCCTAAATGCAAGTATCCCTCTGTTGGTGAGCTTTGTTCTGCATTTCAGCCCACGATCCCAACAACATATCTTTCCTACCATGATTATTTGTGGTTTTCAGCTTGCAAGTGCTTAAGAAGGCTGAAAACCCTCCTCTAGTGAAAATACAGGTGCTCAGAAGAGAGGGGGACAAATATCACTACTGCTGCCCCCCTTGTCTTGCCAGGTGCAGGAATTCAGGGACCTCTGATTCAGGGACCTCTTCATGGCCCTTCAGAACAGCCCCTGTCCCTCCTTTCTAGGGTCAGAGTTTGAACCCTGAAGAAGCAGCTGGCACGGCTCTTGCTGTTCCCGTTGTGCAGGGTTGCAGGGCAGATCTTGACTGTCCTTTCTGAGGATGGAGCACAATCTCCCCTCTTGGAAGGAGTTTTCCAAGCCATTCTATGGTCTCTGGGATCTTTTCTTAGAAACCTAAAGGCAGAAACTGCAGTGGCACCTTAAAGCTTAATCAAGGGTTCAAAAGGATAATGTCATACAGTCCTTGAAGAATTCTAATGAGGAGATACAGATTTGCTTCCCTCAGCACAAAAAGTCTCTTCCTGTGCAGAACTAGCATGTTGGAAATTAGCTAAAACTATGTCCAATATGTCAGTTTTCTATGTACAGGGGAAAAATTAATGGGGGTGTTTGGGAGCTTTCACTACCATGATTCCCACCTACATTCTGAAATGTCCTTGGGGCAGTACCATTTCACTGTTCTGAAATGCAGCCTCAGGAGTCCAGAGGCTTTATTTTGGCCTGAACTTGTTATAATCTAATTAGAAATGTTGAAAATATATCAGTTTACTCATTTAAAAGGTGACAGTTCTATACTCACTTATCTGACTGGGAGTAAACCATGCTGAATTCAGTGGGCCTTAGTAGATATGTATGGCACTGTGCTATAAACTACTTTTTGTTAGAAATGTAGGCCAATATTTTTCTATTATTAGAAAAGCTTTGAGTAGTTGGTACCAAAAGATGGCTTGCTTTGAGAAGACAATGCAGTGCCCAGTTAAGAAGGCTCAGGCCCTATTGAAATCATTGGGACTTAACTCCAGGTAAACACATTGAATAGGATTTTGCTTCAAGAGTTCCTCACATGTCACATCAAGTAGGTTCCCCTTGAGACTAAGACTGCTATTCTGTACGCACTTGAGTAGCAATAAGCCCCATGAACGTGATGGCTGTGTTCACATAACACAAGTATCACTGTGTGATAACCATGATTTGCATTTTTTTACCATGATCTACCCAACAGACAAGTGGCTTCTGTGCTAGTGTGGTTCCCCTCCTCCCCACTCAGGCCTCCAGCTGTTGGCACATATCCCATCAGTCACTGCCATTAAGTTCAATCCCATGGTGCATTGCTCCTTTCCTTTTGTTTCCTGTGTCTTCCAATGGGAACATTGGTCCACACATAGGATCTGAATGGATGGAGCAGTTGCTGCAGTTTTCACGCTTTCCAGATGACTCTGTGGCTCTTGCAAACCACAATCCCAGGTTCAGACAACATGACAAGCCATGGTGGCATGGAGATAGCATTTGGCAGGTTCACATGGCATGAGAAGCCATGGTGAAATCTTACTGCTGTAGGTTTGTTGTGTTGTCCAGACTTAGGTCCAGAGATCCTGTGTGGTAGGATTTGTTTTCTGAAACAAAAAAAACCATTGGTTTTTTCCTAAGGTTTCCACACTTCAGTGCAGCTTTTTTGGTCATCCAGACCTGGGAATGCTATTTTACCATAGTTGGTCTAGAAATGCCATACGAGAGCATCTGTGGAAGTGGCTGTGCCTGGCATTTGATCAATACTCCCCTTGGCTCCCTCACAACACATACATCTTTGCTTACTTTATTCCCATTGACTGAGTGATATGCCTCTCTCCCTGTTTACTTTTGGCAACAAGGAGACAGTGCAGAGGGAGAAGGGGAATCACAGCAAGCCATTTACTTAGATTAAATAAAAAATCTCTGTGGGGCTGAAGCAGCTGGGAAGTGTTGCAGATAGGCATGCACACTTAGGAGGAGGAATGAGGACCCCTCCTTGGGGCTACAGAGGACCGGTCAGGATGAGAGTCCTGAGGTTCAGGGGCAGGAATAAGGAAGGGATGGGAATGCATGGCAAGGCCAGGAGGATGGAGCAAGGAGCCTAGAAATCAAGCACCTGGGTAACCATGTGATTGTCTGACCGGTCACTTCAGACCAAAATCCATGTACTATGGAAACAGTGCAGGATGCTTGCCACATTGTGTGAATCCAGCCACCATTTCTCTTTGTGGTTTCTAAAGACCAAATTTACTGTGGTGAAGTACCACAATGGGGTTTGAACAGCATGACAGACTAACATTGGTGAAAAACCACCCTGGCTTGTTGCATTTCCTGAACCCAGCCATTGTGTCCTTGTTTATCCTAGGATTCAGAGGGACTTTGCTCAAGAGTAATATTTTGGTAACTAGGGAAGTAGTATTCATCTGTAACATAGGGAAAAGATTTGGCATATGAATTCTTTACAGGAGAATGTGGTTTTCCACACAGCAGCTAATCTTAAATCCCTCTTCCTACAGCTTTAACATCTTTTTTTCTTCTAACCAGGTATTTTAGCACGTGACATTCCACAAGATAAAGCTGACATGGCTAAATTGGACTTCAGCCTTGTAAGGTAAAAAAAATAAAGGGCAACTGTGAGTTAATAAATACTCAAGAGATAAACTTCTGACACCATTGGAAAATGTTGATGTGCAGCAGAAGTGAGGCTTCTGTGCCATGAAGCGCAGAAGCACCTCTCTTCATCTGCGTGCAAGATCAAAGTGATACCAGCTGCATTTGAGACATTTTGTGCATTGGTGGGCTCTTGTGTGTGGGACACCCATATGCAGTAGTGCGAGAGAGCTACTGTCTTTATGCTGACGATCATTGATTTTGAAACAGTGGCAAACATACCCTTTTGAGATTTACGTAGCACTGTTTGGATTTCAACATGCAAGTCAACTTCAAACATAAAGAGTGCAAAGATTCAGGGCCAGTCCTACATGCATGGGAACCCTGGTCAGGGATCTGACCAAGCCCTCTGCTTTTGGTATGCCCCTCTCTTTAACCCTTCACTGACAGGAAAATGGAAGGCCAGTATCCATCTGGCTTTGGAGTCCAAAGAGCCCATATAGTGGAAGATGGCAAGTAAGCCTTATGTGCAGGGGGAAATCAAAAAGGAAAGGAGACATGCCTATTGAGAGCTTTCCTTTTCTGTTAGGACATAATTGCCTCCAGTCATGATTGGGAGATTGAATGGGTCTCACTCATCCCATATCTTTAAAGAACTGCCACTAATAGTGTGGAAATAATGACGTGCATGCCCTACAGCAGCGGTTGTGAGGCATCTTGCCAGCCTTGCAGGCCATACGCATTGTCTTATGCAATGTGCTTTCATCATGGGGTTCTCAGCTGTCAAATCATAGAGGCTTTTAAACAAGCAGTGTCTACTCTGAGAACACGCATGTTTGAGCTTGTGTTAACTGGTCACAGGTACCCACACCATCCACATCCTTTTTAGTTGCATTAGAATAATAATAAAAAATCAGGCTTGGATTAGTGCTCAGAGACTGCTGATCATGGCATGCTGAAGAAAGGAGGGTTGCTATTCTTCCAGGTGTCAGATCTTGAAATCAAACTATTGAACCAGTGCTGTTGGAGGTTTGGATTCATAAGTGAGGAAATCTGGGGGACATCTCAATTGCTTAATTTTCTCAGTCCCAACTACACTGAGAACTTTCTACATGAATTATCTGGTTAGTGTCGCACTGGTGAGAAAGTCCCCAGTTGTTTCATTTTATCCACACCTTGCAAATGCTTTGCTAGGACTGAGCTCCCAGAAGACAGCTGCCACCTAATGGCCTGATTCTGTGAGTGGGGCCCGTTTGTTGTAGCCACCACAAGCAACTTCACACCACTGCTTTCTCCCTGGAGGCAGGGCTGCACGAGCACTCCATCCCAGGGAAGGCTTTGGAAGCATGGGCAGAGAGATGGGGTGCAGCGTTGCAGTTGGGCATCATCAGCGCCTTTGGACCTGCAGAGACTACCATGTGATGCAACCTCTGGTTTTATGTTGGGAGTGCATTGGGAGTGCATCCAGTGTATGCTGCCTTGGACATGATCTTTTAAATTTAAAGCATCTCCACCCTTCCTTTTCTAGAGTTGCAGTTTGCAATCTGTACCCTTTTGTCAAGACAGTTGCATCCCCGAATGTAACTGTCCAAGAAGCAGTTGAACAGATTGACATTGGTAAGTCGAAGAAACATGCCTTTAAGCGGGGTTGGCATCATGCGTAACCTGGGGATATATTGCCTGAAAGCTCTTCTTATGGCTCCTCCTATGAACACTAGAGCGGGGGGATGATTTGGACATGAGCGTATGACCTGCACCAAGGTTCTTTCATGTGTGGAGGATACTTGATCCTGCAGGAGCAGGGAGACGAGGAGTCTTGTACAACCCTGCACTCTTCCCGGAGAATGGCACCAAAGGGTCTTTAAAGGGCTCCCTTTCCACAGCATGCCTTATGCCAGTGGTTTTGGGTTCTTGATCTACCAAGAATCACATCCACATGTGCACACCACACTTGTTCATGCTAACCTCTGGCACAGGAAGGGAGCTTGCTGCATTCTTGTAGCTGCCAAAGCAGTGGGACACCCTTCCAGCAGCCCTTTCCCTTCTCTGCCCCTTGCTCTGTGCTCCTGGCAGGGCAGGCTATCACTGTCCTCTTTCAGACCTTTCTATACCCGCTGTAGCCAAAGCTCTCTGGGTGGTTCACAACATTTAAGTCATCCATCCAGATTTCAACAAGGCCCAGCTTGCTTAGCTTGCAAGATTAGGCAGGATCAGGCACTTCAGGCTATACGGACGCAATATACAGCTGTACAGAGACTGCAGGTGAAGGCTCAAGACTGCATATGTGCTGGGGAGAAGGTTAGGCCGGGACTTTCTCCTTTGACTAGCAGGTTTTCTATGTGGAGGGAATGTGTATGAAGGATGTTTAATCACATGAGACCTACCTGCAGCGTGAGGTGACGAGGGACAGTCTCATGGTTACCATTTAACACCTAGTCCTCACACTGGTGAACAAGGGGATTCTTGAAGCTTTCAGGTTATGGATAGGGGAAGGTCCTGCCTCCAGAAAGCAAGGGGAGGTCCACCCATCTGTGCTATGCTACAGCCCTCCTTCCCCTGGCCCTGGTCCCAGGAAAGGGGCTTCAGAGTCACCAGGATGCGCCTCCACCCTGCCGGAGAACCAAAGGGGGAAGTCCTCCTCCTGCCTGACTTTAAATGCCCCCAAAGGGCTGCAGCTCCCGGTGATACTCGACTGACTGGCTTGCTTTCTCTGCTTCCCAGTTGCTGGCGCAGCTGCTTTGGCTCTAAGTGTCGTTCAGTGAGCTGGCTGTTCTCTGGCACTTTTGGCAGCTGGCCAATCTCCTTGGGGTTGTGTATCCCATTGGGGTGGATTCCAGGGTGGGTGGATTCCTGGAGAGGCACCAGTGGAATTGCAGCACAAAGAAATGTTTCTGTCGGCAAGCATAACTAGGTTATGTCTCCAAAATGCATTTTCACCATGGTAGACAGTCAGATGACTTCATTTTGAAAAACCTTTTTGTTTAGCCATTTCAGAAGGATGTTGAGGAGCCAGTGCAGAAACAGTTGCCATGCACAGAATGCTAGTAATGGATCCTGTGGAGTTATTGAAAGGACTGTAGTCCTTGTCCTATAAACTGTGAAGGATTTATTCATGAGGGGAGACAAGCTGTAGTAAGAGGGGTAGATTTGCTGTGCCTGACATACTGCTTGAGGTCTGGGCTGGGGTACCTCTATGTCCACCACTGCCACTGGATTCCCAAATGAGTGCCTTCACCATCTTTGATTCCCGTGCCAGCAATGGCCTCTCCTGGACAGGGACAGCTTGGGCACGTCATGGAGACGCCGGTGACCTCAGTCTTGCAGCTGTGTGCTCTTCGTGGGCTGCCCTTGAGGCTGGTCCAGACACTGGAGCTAGTGCAGAATGCAGTGGCCCCACTGTTGAGAGGAGTCACCACTTTTCCGCATGCAACCCTGTCCGTGGGGGGACTGCACTGGCTGGCTTTTCACAGCCCAGCCAGGGTTGAAGTTTTGGTACTAGTGTGCAGAGACGTGAACAGCTTTGGACCAGGGTACCTGAGAGGTACCAGTGCCTTCTCCCTTACCCGCCTACCTGGTCACTGAGGTCATCAGAAGGGATGGCCCTTGTGATTGAGCTTAGACCCATGTCTCAAGTGGAACCCACCCAGAGAAGAGCCTTCAGCACGGTGGTGCCATTTCTTTGTTTGAGGAGGTCAGGGAGATGCCATTGTTGGCTTGTCCTGAATGCCTGGTGAAGAGGCTTGTAGTTCAGGATGTGACCTTCCTGATGTAACCAGGCATAGTTTGATGGACACAGTTTAACTAATCTTGTTTGTAACACACTGTTCTATTATTCACGGCTCCAAACTCTCCACAATGGAACAGTATATGAATCTTGCAAATAAAATAAATCATGATATGGTGTGTAGTTGTTTTCCTGGCTTCCTTCATTCACAGGAGGAGTAGCTTTACTGAGGGCGGCTGCAAAAAACCATGCTCGTGTGACAGTTGTGTGTGATCCCAGCGACTACAGCACAGTAGCAAAGGAAATGAAGGCCTCAAGTAGTAAGGATACCACCTTGGAAACTCGGCGCCAGTTAGCACTAAAGGTATATAGCCATCTTTCCTGCTGGGGTGAGGGGTGCTTTTCCGTAACACCTGAAGTAGTCCAGTGACCACTGACCTGAGCCACTCCTCCTCCAGGCTTTCACGCACACTGCCCAGTACGACATGGCCATCTCTGATTACTTCAGGAAAGAGTACAGCAAAGGAGTGTCCCAACTTCCACTGAGATATGGCATGAATCCACACCAGACTCCTGCTCAGCTCTACACTCTGAGGCCAAAGCTTCCTCTGACAGGTACAATGCATTGATAATCCATTCCAAAGAATGTGTTGGCAGGAGCTTTGCATACATGATGTTGTTGTGGTTGTTACAAAAACCCTGTAAGGTAGGTTGGCATAATTCTTCCAGTATCACAGATGGAGGGCCAAGCTGACAGAGCAGCTCACCTAATGCTAAACAAGCCGTTCCTAACAGAGTTCCAACTGGAACCAGGAACACCCTGCTTCATGGCTCTGTCTTTGAGGCACTGCATTTCACCAGCTCTTAGCTCCCTCAAAGGGGTGCAAAACATCTCAGCCCAAGGGCTCCTTCCTTCGGAAAGGAGCTGTGTGGCCACATTCTGGGGGTGGATGATGGCAAACTGGGCAGGGCCAAAGATACCAGCATATTCAACCTTCAAGCTCTTCCTGCCATTAACATCCCTAAGGGAGTCATTCCCACCTTTGAGAATAGGAAAAATGCACAAATACTGGGAAGCTACCAAAACAATTAGTAGCTCAGGTGGGATGCAGTTCTGTGCCCCTGCTTTGGTGACAGAAGCCTGGGTGCTCATGTGAGTAGAATGCTGGGCTTGGGTTGAGGAGTCCCAGGTTCTAATCCCCTTTCAGTAATCAAATTGGCTGGGTGACTTTGTTGCATCTTAAAACCCAACCTACCTCACAGGGTTGTTGTGAAGATTAAGTAGGGAAGCTATTAATATTTTATTCTAGGTTCCTTTCTGAAAAAACTGATCATCTGTGTGTCCTCCCCTGTTCTGAATTTCATATCTCAGTAAATTCCAGCATTCCAAGCATTGCAGTAATGACAGCTTTTCCTTTAGCCCTCCCATCTCTTTCTTCCTGTAGATGGCTTTAACATCCCAGGCAGAATGTTTGTGTTCCATAGCTAACTGCCCATGCACCTTCTTGGCCTCTCGTCATGTTAGCCTGTTCTTCTTTCCTACTGACCTCTCAGTCTGTCTTCCAGTGCATTTTTGGCAACTAGAATATGACAAGTTCTTCTGATCCTCAGGCATTCTGCTTGGGAATAACATAATGCGAGAGAGGGAACCATGCTTTAAGCTTAGAAGTGGGCCATATTTCTACAGAATAAATGCATTCCATGTATCCCAGTCTGGTGTTTCCTTCTGAGCACGTGGATGCGCCTGCAGGGACGCATGGGGCCAGGCAGGTAACCGAGATGGCGGCAGGCTCACCAGCAACGTTCTCCAGCTGAAGCTCCATGGGAGCCACCCCCGCCTGTATGCACCGCATTTCCTCCCAGCCCTTGCGTGCGGGAGACTCTGCATGCGTAAAGGAGGCTTCCTTCAACCTGAACCAGTTGTGTTTTAGCAAGGGAATGTTGCTGGCACGTGTGTTGAGGGGTAGGGGCTTGCCTGACACCCACAGGTACCGAGCATGTGGACAGAGCTGCTGTGATGACAGAGCCAGCTTAACTTTATTATTTTGGAGGGGTTGGCTTCAGCATTTGAATTTAGGGCATAATGTAGCTTAATTAACTTCATACTTTGGCTCCAAATATATATACACCATACATATGCATGTGTTTTGCATTTACCTTCCCACTTGTTGGCCACTGGATGCTGTACTAGCTTGCCTCTTAATACTGTGGAAAAGGGGGAAGCCATTTCTCTGCCCATGCACTTACCACTGGTTATGTTAAAAGGAAGGAAATGTACCCCAGTCATGACACTGAGTTTGGGAACCAAACGTAACTGTACCAGACAGTAAATGGAATCGATCCTGTCGCTGTGGAGGCTCCTACAGAATGGCATTTCTGGCTGATGAATGGCCTCTGTGCTCTGTCTCTGCAGTCCTGAATGGCTCCCCGGGATTTATCAACCTGTGCGATGCTCTAAATGCCTGGCAGTTGGTCAAGGAGCTCAAGCAGGCTTTGGACCTTCCAGCTGCAGCCTCCTTCAAGCACGTCAGTCCAGCAGGTAGGACTACAGCTTTGGGTTCTGCTCCACATTTACATGCTGATGGGATTATGCAGTCCTTGGGCACATCTGTACCGATGTGTGCTAATGCCTGATCTAGAACTGACACTCGAACAGGGCTGTGATATGCAGAGCTGCTGTTCGTACCTCTGTGCTGTAGAGCTAGGCATGGGCATGGACCGTCTTTGCTGGTGGGGGAGTCAAGAGGCACAGCCGCACCTCGCTTAAGGTGAGATGCAGCCGCTGATGAGAGGCCGAGGGCCCCAACACTGACTGCCGTGCTCACTCACCCACCAGGTGCAGCTGTGGGCGTGCTCCTCAGTGAAGAAGAAGCTGCGGTCTGTATGGTCCAGGACATGCACAGCATGCTGACACCTTTGGCGTCTGCATATGCTCGGGCAAGAGGTGAGTAGGCGCGCAAAGCAGCAGGCCTCCCTTTCATGGATCCTCTCGTCCCTTGCAGAATTTATTTATTTATTTATTTATTTTTCAATTTATATCCTGCCTTTTCCCTATAAAGGGCTCAAGGCAGCTTACATCATTCTCCTCCTCCATCTTATCCCCCAACAACAACCCTGTGAGGTAAGTTGGGCTGAGAGTCTGTGACTGGCCCAAAGTCACCCAGTTGGCTCCATGGCTGAGTGGGGACTAGAACCCAGATCGTCTGAGTCCCAGTCCCATGCTCTTAACCACTACACCACACTGGCTCTCAATGAATGACTGGCGATGTGGAACAGTCTGTAGAAAATAGCCCCAGAGGGAGTTTTTTGACTGTCTCCCATGTTTAATTTTTATTATTCCATTTCTGTCTCGCCTTTTTCCTGTTGCTAACATAAATCTTTTCTCAATTTTATCTTCATAGCAACCCTGTAAGGTAGGCTAAGCTGAGAGTCAGCCTAACTTGGCTCAAAGTCACACAGTGAGCTTCAGCACTAAAAGGGGACTACAGTGTGGCTCTACCACATTGCAGGCTAACCCTTGAGCCCCTGCACTGCCCTGTGCCAGACGAGACACCTCTCACTGTTCAGTTCATGTATAAATACCCGTCACTGTGGCTTGCCTCACTATGCGCGTATTCCTTGAATTTGTGACCGTTGCCAAGTAGCAGATGAAGAAATGCCTGGAGTGCATGGCATGTTCTGAACAAAGAGCCAGCCTGAATGGCCACCCCTTTAAGCTAATGACCTCATGCTGGATTGTTGTAAAGGAAGCAGTGCGGGGGGGCCTGTTGCATGCAGCTGCGTGCTGCTCCAGGAAGCAGCGTGCTGCACGCTGCAGCTCCCACACAGGTGAAACGGGTGCTTGTTCACTGTGCTGCCAGAACCCACTGCAGAAGGTGTCAGATCCCCACGGTGAGCTGCTGCACAGAGGTGGGCTGCGTCCTAGAGCTGCTCCTTGCAGCTTCATTTCAAGCAGCTGTTCTGACCCCGCCTGTACGCGTGTGCCACACTTGGCTGTTACTGAAGCTGAAGGACACCAGATGTGGGCATACTTGGCCAGGAAAGGGTTGTGCTGAGCCCAGTGGGACTTACTGCAGAGTAAGCATGCCTGGGGTGGGGCTGTGCATGAAGATGTGAGGTTCTGGGGACTCTGATAGGTGAGGAATCTGGTGCAAACATTTGCTTTTCCCCCCAGGTGCCGACCGAATGTCATCCTTTGGTGACTTCGTTGCTCTCTCTGATACCTGTGATGTCCCCACAGCAAAGATCATTTCCAGAGAGGTTGGTAGTGGCAGCGTTGCGTGTCGTGTCGCCCTAGCAAATACACCATGATGAATCCAGCTCCAGCTGCAGCAGAAGGTTGGGCAGGGCTGGCATCAGTGTCCCTCCAGACCCCAGACCCCAGTCCCCTTCAGCCTCAGTCAGCAGTCAGGGATGATGGGAGCTAGCATGCAGGAACATTCCCAGCCTGGGCCAGGTAAAGTGGGGATGGGGCTGCCCTACTTTCCTGTCCTGAAAGGTGTGGCAAATCGAGTGGGTCCTGTGCCCCCCACCAGCGTCAGTACTGCCTTGGGAAAAGATCAGGGAGCATTTGTTTGATTCTTGCTTTTTCTGTTTGTTTATTTACAATGTTTAAAAACCACTCCACACCTACAAAGGGTTCCTGGATGTTGAACAGTGAAGGGAGCAGGAGCGGGAAGTCAAACTACAAAATCCCAAAGGGGTTTGCCAACGATTGCTTTCCACTGAGATCGCCTTGCATGTTCACTCTTGGGCCCTTAGAAGCCAGCACCAGGGGCTCGGGGAGGTCTCCAGTCGGGCAGTCCGGAGGCCTGAAGTGGAATTGCACTGACTGCGCTAAGCTGGCCACAGCACCGCAATAAGCAGTTCTGTCCTAATGGTGCAAGGCCAGAAGGCAACGATGGGTCCTCAAGGAGTCCAGGGCTGCCTCCATTGGCAAAAGTGCCAACTGCCCACAAGAGCTCCTCTGGACTCAGCGGTGCAGTGCAGGCAGCAAAGGAACCTCCAGGCAGCTTGTTTGTGCCTTACGCCATTCCTCCTCTCACCAATATCGAGAATGCCAAGGAGCACAGAGGGCTCGGGTGCAGTACAGTGGCTGGCTTGCCACATCGCGCTGTGCCTCCGCCAGCCTAGGCCCTTGGGCTGCATCACAGCTCTCCTCAGGACCATCCCCAGGAGGGTTCAGGACACCATCGTCTTCTGTACCCTGGTCCCTCTTGCTTTAGTGCTCTGTGTGCGAGTGTGTTTGTGTGGCTTTCTGTTTCTTCAGGCTCGGATGCCCCTCAGGTTGCTGATACCTTCATCTTCTATGTGGGTGGTGCTGTTTAGCAGTTGGGGAATCTGAGTTTGCAACTGGAAGGTGCAAACACTGTCTTGTCATGTGGAGGTATTAATATTTGTTCATGCTTGTTATGCAGGTATCTGATGGGGTTGTGGCTCCCGGGTATGATGAAGAAGCCCTCAAAATCCTGTCCAAAAAGAAAAATGGGAACTACTGTGTACTCCAGGTTGGTATTTGAAATATTTCAAGGTTTTAAAGAATGATTAACTGTGTTACTGCTTCCTTCCCACATCTGAACTCCTATTTCCTGACCTCCCTGCTTTCTGCTGCAATTTCTTTTAAAATGTTCTATTTAGGAGAAAATAAATATTAGATGCACTCCACAGCTTCTTGAGACTTGATCTGGAAGCCTCTTTAAGGTGCAGGTAAGACTGTCGCTAGAGCAGCCTGAAAGAGAGCAGCCCACCGTGTGTGGGCATGCATCCCAGAGGCTCCCCGTGCCTTGGCTGGAGGCAGCACGCCATGCCTCAGCTTGACCGCTGGGCAGAGCCATCCAGGTTGGCTTTCCTCAGAAGTACTTTCCAGGATGTTCAGTGGGGCTCTGTCCCTGGCAAGTGTGTTCAGGATTGCAGACTTAATGAGGAACTCGAGGGGCCAGCTGGGAACCATCTACAAGAAATAAGCTCTGAATATCCTGAACAGGGAAGTGTTCAGCCAATACAGCCTGCTTGTTTGGAAGTGAACGCTTGTGTTGATCAAGGGTCCACTCCAAATCCTAGGCCAGATTTTACTTGGTGGCATTGAAGCTGAACACCTCTGGTAAACCTCTTGCTGTTCATCTGTTTTAGAGGAAAGAGGGATGGGGTGGGGAAATGCCACTTTAACGATTAATAATGAGGGAAACTGTCCTTGAGCTGGCATGACCTTAAAATGTCTTCCTGCTTTTAGATGGACCCTGCTTATGAGCCAGATGAAAATGAGATCCGCACTCTGTTTGGACTGTACCTAGCACAGAAGAGGAATGACTGCGTGATTGACCGGTCGCTGTTCAAGAACGTGGTTACTAAGAATAAAAATGTAAGCGAGGCAGGGGAAGGCTGCCTTGGTAAGGCTTGAGTGCAGGTGGTCCTCCAGCAAATGAGACACAGGGCTGAAGAGGCAGCCACTAGCAGTCCAGTTCCCTGACACGAGGGAGGATCTCGGACTCAATGGCAGGGCACATGCCTGGTGTGCAGGAGGTCCCAGAGTCAACCATTTAGATCCTTGGTTAGAAAGATCTCTGAAAATGCTCTCTGCAGCTACTTGGAGCAGTAGACCCTGGGCCATGCGGCTCAATAGTATCAGGCTGCTTTGTCTGTCCCCATGCTCTGCTAAGTGAAAGTCTGATGTTTTGTGCCAATGCAAAGGTGTGACTTGGTGTTGCACTGCCACCCCCTTTGGAAAAATTGCAGTTGGCCAGAGCAAGGCCTAGGGAAAATCTTTCTTGGACAGAGAGTTTGGAACAGGAGAAGAGACTTGACATACTAAGCCTAAACTAAAAAACATAAACGAGACAGAGAGTGGCTTGGCATCAGAGCAGGGTTGTGATGCTGAAGAAAATGCCCAGCGTGCCACTTTGAGCGGCCAGCCCCAGCAGAGCCAAAGCTGCAGATATGGGCACACACTGGCAGCCTGGGCCCTGCCAGAGTCGAGGGGAAAGAGGACAGTCGGAGAGCAAGAAAGAAAGGCGACTGGGCAACCAATGTGTGGCTACTGTAGATCACTAGCTGCTGACTGGAAGCAGGCTGCTGCTGTTCGTGCTACAGCAACCCTGTGCAAGCAGCTGTAGACTCGGTGACCTGGAAGACTGCTGGCCAGACTGAACGTTGGCATCAGAACAGGCATTCTGTGCATTCTTGATCAGATCAAGCATTCACTGCTGCTTTTCAACCAAAAAGGTGCTGTTTCAAAAATGATATAAGTGCAAGGAAGTTTATTTTGAGAGAAGTTTCAGGTGTGTGTGCTGCCACTTCCTGAACCAGTGTGTTCCTGGTTAAATGCCTTTGGGGGCAGGAGTAAAGGTTGGATTTTATTTTATTTGGCATTTTATGAACAGAAGTATGAATTTCTGGGCTTTCCATCTATGTTCCTAAAGTACCAGCCAAACCCTGCCCTAACCACAAAAGGCATCCCCTTCCAATGGCTGCAACTAGAGACCCATCTGAATCCCATCCAAGCCAGTCTGCTCCCTTTTGGTAGAGGCCAGGTGTCTGTCCCAATCCTGTGTGTCAGCACTTTATGTTTTCCCCAAAGTCTGTCAACACTCTGTGTGAATCTCAAAGTCACCTCAGTCCTTTGGTCAAGGCCAGTGTACGAAACAGTAAATATGGATATTTTTTAAAAAGCCCAGAGTCACTGTGATCCTTTTGGGCTGGGCAGAGCAAGGCAGAGTGCCAAAAGCCAACACTTCACTCTTGTTAGGATTGTGCGATGCAGCCTTGTACCAAGCCATTTCCTTGATCCAGCTATCTTCCTTGGTGGTGGCTGTGCAGGGGTTCAGGCGGGAGTCTTTCCTATCCCTACCCAGAAATGTTAGGGATTGAACCTGAGAACCTGGGCACACTAAGCAGGTGCTCCACAACAGAGACTGAACTCCCAAAGGTCCCTGGATGGCTGTCTGAATCGCAGCAGGTTCCTATCTGAATGGACTACCCCCAAAGTGCTCCATTGCTTTGATCCAGCCAGATGCCAGTCCACATCTCCAAAGTCACCTGCCTAGTTTGAGAGGGACAAAACTCTCCAAAGCCCCAGTTTCAACTCCATTTCATTCCCTGGCTTTCAAACATCCATCTCAGCCCTCATGTCCCAATGCCTGACCTCTGCTGTGTCCAAAGCAAGATGCCTGTCCAAACTCTCCTCTGAGCAGGCCCAAAGGCCTATCGTGTTCACCAAAGGCCCCCGAGGACGTACCGCTTCAGGTCAGCAGGGGGCTCTGCGGAGCACATTTTCTCACAGGCTTTGACTGCAAAGGCTTTTAAGGAGAACAGTTGGAGATTGCACCGAACTCTCTCTTCTTGGATATTGCCAGATAGCATTACGCTCATGCAGTGGAGGCTTGTTTACGCTCATGTACTGGAAGGCCTGTTTTCACTCTAACCCAAGGATGCCCAGATATCTGGGGACATACGTAGTTACATTATAACTAATGATGTGGTGAGGACTGGAGCAGCAGCAGCACCAGTTTCTCTACATGGGAATTCCCTGCTTCCCAAAGCTCCTTTTAGCTCCTTTTGAACAAACCATTCACTAATATGTTGCCAGACAGGAAAAAGCCCAAAACAAACGATGGGGTCGTTGAGGCCCCATCGGTGCAGGTGTTCAAGGATAGGCTGGATGTCCACATGATGGGCATGTTGTGAGCGGAGCCGGCTGATGCAGAGGTCAGACTAGATGACCCAGGAGACCCCTTCTGACTCGCTCTGTTTTTCTATGTTTCCATGTTATATGGTATAACATCGCAAGCACAAAGGGGGGGGGCGGGGCCTGAAAAGGAAACAAATGTGATAAAAAAATTGAATAGGAAGATTTTTTTCCCTATTCCTTATCCCTGTCTGTGAATGTCCAAGCTGTACCTGGCCCTTGTGATGTTGTTAAAAGACTCTCTGGCATTAGAAACATACAGAGATGCAGCACCCCATCTAAATGTGTGTGTGGGAAATGACATTAAGGAACAGCGCACCCCTCTGATCTTGGGAAGTATATTGGAAAGAGATGCTGGAAGTAGCAAGGTAAAAGTAGGCAGTGTATTAAAACACAAGCTGGCAACTGTTTAGGATTTTCCAAGTGAGGCCCTTTCAGTAAGAAACTGTGGTAACTTAATTCTAATTCAGCAGTCTTCTAAATGTTTGTGTTTGAGAAAATACCAGTGTAGAGTTCAAGGTTGTTTATATTGATGCTCACTACATTTATTAAGTTGAAAGTCCAGAACCTCTTTTTCAAAGCTCCAGTAATGCTCTCCACCTCAGGGCAGGGGTACATAGGGGCTTTCACTGCCTTGTACATTTTCAGGCAGCATCCAGGTTTCACTAAACCGTAATTACCTTTAAAAGTGCCTTCATGATCCCCTCTTTGTCGTTTCAGCTGCCTGAGCCAGCTATCCGAGATCTGATTGTAGCAAGCATTGCGGTCAAATATACCCAGTCTAATTCTGTCTGCTATGCCAAGAATGGACAGGTAAATCAATGTCATGCTGTACCTTCTGAGTGACGTCAGTTGTACAAATTGTCTGCTGGGAAACAAATGCAGATGGACTGGTTTAGACAACCTTACACAAAACTATGACCCACAGTTTTGCATGGGTTTTGATGCATTCCTGCTGCCACAGGAGGTTTGTTTTCCTTGGGTTCCTTCCTAGCTCTTTCTGTTTCCTGATTGACAGGCTCTGCAATTTCTCCTGTGTATCCACTTGACTCCAGTGTACCAGCACAGGGGGTGAAGGTGGACATGGAGTGTAAAGGTGGCAGGATGCAATGCACATTCTCTGCCTTGAAAGCAAAGGCCTCGGAAGGCAACGAATGTGTTTCCAGATTATCTCTGCTTCAGGAGATCTGTCTTCACCCTGAATCCAAATAAATAAATGCATGCAAGGAGTTTTAAGCCCCTCTTTTCCACAAGGCACAGAAAGTTCTGGGATATGAGAAAGGTAGAACTGCTTCGAGCAGTCCCACATATATGAGCACCCTGTGTTCCACGCTCAGTTATCCGGACATTGGTAGACTCCCAAGACCCATCAGCCCTAGCCAGCATAGCCAACGGTCAGGAATGATGATAGCTGTAGTCCTGTTCCCCACTGAAGCTGAAGTTCCCCACTTCAGATTTAAATGAAGGTATCCTTTTTCTTGTGCATAGAATTATATTTTAATTAGTTGTTGGTGCATAAATAATGTAACAGAAAGAAACAATAGCTTCTTCCACCCCCATAATTTTCAACATATTTATTTTCACCCTACTCTGAAGACAAAATAAAACATGCTTCTAGAGCACCTTATTATGACTAATAATGAGAGAGGCATTGCCCTCAGATTTACAGTAAAAAAAAGTCCTGACACAAAAGGATTTAGGGTAGGGAGGGAAGAAGAAGAAAGTAAAACTCTAACACAAGCTCCTAGTTTCAAGGTTCCTGTGGGTGTTCTTTCTTGTGGGAAAGGCAAAACCAGTTTCCTGTGGCAGCTGCTTCTCTGGACAATGCATGGAGCCAGGTTGGCCACCCTTTTCTTCTTTCTGGGAGATGGCTTCCAAGTGGCTCATTCTTCTCAGTGTTCACTGGGTATTGCTGAAACCAAAGGAACTATTAAAAGAGCATGGCTGCGAGCCCCTCTGGGGGAGCTCTTCTGCCCTGCACAGCTCCGTCTTCTGGCCGACCTCTCACCACAGTGGGAAGCCTGTGCCCAGGCTACAGCACTACAGAATGAACAAGGAGGCTTACAGAAGGCTCTTCATGTCAAAAGCATGTCCTCCACATAGCAAACTAGATGTCGAGGAGAAGACCACGAAGTAGCCCTTCTACTTGATGTGGCCATTTGCTCTGAGTCACAGGTTTTTGGGTAGGGGAGATTCCATCACTGGAGTCCCCACCTACGGTATGTAGCAGGTCATACCCAATTAATACCCAAGCACTGTTCTATCAGCTCTTGGAGAAGCAGTCCTTTGAAACCTGCTCTGTCCTCAAACTCTGCCCCTATCGTATATGTGTTGCATTATTTATTTCTATACCATGCAGTTGCCAAAGTTTCCTAGGGATTTCCTAGCAACTCATATAGTAAAATGCGGCATAAAATACAGATAACAAAAACACCGTCATAAAATTTCTCTACAAAAAATTAAAAACTAAATTTAAACAATTTAAGTAAGGCAGGTTAATATAATACAGGCAGCCTGATACTGGAAGGATTGTAGAGTTGGTGCCAGGCTGGCTTTAGTGGGGAGCTTGTTCCTTACCATCACTGAAAAGGTGCACCTCCCTTGGAGTTCTCATTCAGAGGAAGGCTCTGGATATTGACCATACTGTCTGGGAAGACTGTAGTCGGGAGAGGCAGTCCTTCTAGTATTGCCATCCCAAGCTGTGCAGGGCTTCATAGTTAAAGCTAGCCCCTTGAATTGGCTCAGAAGCAAATATGCAGCCAGTGCAAGTGGACCAGTGTTGGTGCTCTGCATTCAGACCTTCTGCTCCTCCAGATTCAGGTCCTTTCATCATTCATCCTGTGGTAATTCATCCTGAACTTGCTTGTTTGACCGAGAATGCCTGGTTGCTTTACTGTACAGGACAAACAGTCCTTATTGCTTTATTCATGGCTCTTTTTTAATTCACACATTTTGACTTCTTCCAAGAACGCTCAAATCTGTCTTCTGTCCCTGAAATAAAATGCCAGCCGTGCTGCTTTGCCTCAGCTGCAAATTCCCATTTAATCATTCTTAACTCATCAGATTAAGGGCAGCTGCTGCTGCATTACAGCTCCAAATCTCTCTTTCAGCTCATTTTATTTAAATAAGGAAAAGGAATGGCTTGTGCTTTAATTGTTTCTAAGAAAACATTTTTTTCTAAGAAAAAACTGCCAGATTTTACACAAAGTTCCTTTTGGGGGATATGCTTAGCATTCTGCAGGTACACACTGTTCCCCCCCTCCCCCCGTAGGTTAAATGGATAATCTGTTGTAATTTGTGCCTTTTTATTCAGACAGCAGCTTTCCCCATGCTGAATGAGGGTGATGAGTGTTGTAGTTCAACACTTCTGGAGGGAACCAGCTTGGAGAAGGCTGATACAGGGGGTGTGAGATCACCAGGTATATAAGCTGATGTCCAGTCTGAAGGGTATTTTGCCTGGACCTGAACAATCTTCATACTTGCTCATTTGTTTCCTGATAACGGCAACCTGTGAAATGATGACTTGTCTGGAGGAGCAGCCATCACAGATCAGATAGTGAGGGATGGAGACAGTCTTTCCTGTGACCCATGGGAAAAGATTGGTTGGTTGTGGGCAGAGTTTGCAGGATAGCCGAGTGCTGTCTCAGTCCTTGTCCGCCACAGTTAGACTGAGGATGGCAGTATCCCCATTCCAGCCTTAGACTCAGTTTCTCTATCAGTCCAAAGCACACTATTTCTCGGTATTCTACTATCAGTTGTTGATGCATGTGCAAACTGGCTTTATAGGATTATTATTTAAATATAGGCATTGCTTCCCACCACAAAAGGATTCTCAACATGATTTACAGACACTGTGCAGAAATGCAGATACATTACTGGCTGGAATCAGTATAAACCCCAATCAGCAGAAAAGCGCAAGTTAATCTGCAGGCCGTAAAAACAGTCTAAAAACAATCCCGTGTGGAAAGCATTCCTCTAGAAAGACACAGAATCCACTCAAGCTCCCATTCTAGAACCAACATCATATACCTAGGAGAAATGCTCAGGAAACCATTTTGTTCCAAGTCATAGAATGCCCCTGACAGACCTTCCATGGACCTTATTCGAGGCCATGTGGCAGGTTCCTGTTTAGAATGTAGGATTTGTGTCGTCTTGGGTGTCACTGAGTCCAGGCCCCCAGCTTTTGTTCCCTAAGCAATGGTTGCTGCCTGAGTTGGTTCAGTGAGCACTTTTGTCAGTGTGCTCCTTTGAGGCACAAGCTGGGATTCCTGACTTCTTGGAGAGCAATTCAGAAGCGTGGAGGTGTGGAGCTCTGCTTGCCAGCAGAGGGCAGGATGAGAGCTGTTGCCTGCAGTCAGCTTGCTTTGGGGCTCAGCCCGGGGGTGAAACAAACACCAAGTGTGCTAGACAAGAAGCCTTTCTAAGTAAAAAGCAGAGCATTTCCTCCTCCTGTGATGTGAGATGTTGCCAGATCCATTCAGGAGGAGGGTAATTCTGTGTCATGGCTGACTTCTTAGCTAGGAGCTGTTTCCTAATTGGCTGATAAAGAAAGGCCACAACTCCAGTTTTTTCCACCCTGTCAGCTGGGAAGGGTGCTTGGTTTTTATGGCTGTGGCATGATGTGTGGCTGTTGCAGGAGCAAGGCAGCAAATGGTTTATTTCAGCATTTGACTGGCCACTTTAACAACTGCTGCAGCTGAACCAAGTTCCAAGTCTGACGCTGACCAGGCCAACTGGCCTCACAAGCAATTGGTGTCTCTCCTGATGCTTTCTTCTTAAGAGTTCATCCTTAGATGGAAGATGGGACCTGCACAGCCATGGAAAGCTGTTGGTCAAGCAGAGCAACTTTTCAAGCAGCCCGTAGAAATCAGGATGCCGTAGAGGCCCGGGACAGGGAGGTTAGCTTTGTGGCTCAGGCTTCTACAAGGAGGCTTGTCCAGAGTATGCCATGGAAGAGTAGAGTTGGAGGAGGCCAAGAAGGCCATCAGGTCCAACCCCTGCTGTTGCAGGACGCCACATTACACCGCCCCACTCAGGTGGCTGCCCAGTTTCTTTTGAATGTCTCTAGTGTGGGAGAGCCCACAGCCTCCCTAGGGAGCTGGTTCCACTGTTATATTGCTCTGACAGCGAGGAAGCTTTTCCTGATACCTCGCTTGAATAAATGAAGAATTGTCGCAGCTGCTTTCCTCTGCATCAAGGTGCTTGATAGAGGCCCTTCTCCAGGGTTTCTGGAGGATTACTTGTGGGATGGTGGCTAGGGAAAGGGCCTTTTCCGTGGTGGTGACTTGGCTTTGGGGCCCTATCCACAGAGCGACTTAGTGCCTGCTTGGATGTCTCAAGTGCTTCAGCAGGAAGGCTTGCTCCTGTGATGCAGGTTGCTTGTTATCTCTCACAGCCATGTAAGATTATTACCTAGAATTTCTCACTCATCCTCTCTACACATAGGCAGGCATTTCCGGTGCTAGCCCTGCATGTCTTCTTACTGTTGCTGGGACACATTCCAGGCACTGGTTTTGGAAGGGCAGATGGAAGGCAGCACCAACAATAAGGGGCCTAAAATAAGTCCTGCATGGAAGGAGTGAATGCTCAGCTTTGGCTGCACCAGATTGTAGGTCGCCTCACTGACCAGATCACTTAATTTAGACACCTTACCCTATAGTTTCCTTTAGCTTCCTTGTTGTACTTGCAGGAAAGGCGGTAAGAATGGTCTTTTGCTACCGTTCAAATGCATCCTTGTATGGGAGGACAGAATTCTAACTGTTGCTGGGACTAAACCCTGCTAATACATTGAGATCTCTTTCTCACTAACAGGCATGGGATTGCACCGTATATGGACGGAACTGGCTCTGTTCTTTATTGGTACAGAATACTGGACTGTGATAGTGTGCATACAGCGCAAGTGTTATTATTTGACTAGCACAGTCAATTAGTAGTCCTTTTCCTGCATTGATTGATCTGTCCATCCTTTCAAGGGGCTCATAGCTTTCCTCCCACTTTCTGTCTTCATAGCAACATCATGTGGTAAACTAGGGTGTGAAAATATGACTGGCTCAGGTCACCAGGGGAACTTTGTGGTTGCATGGGCATATGAATTGCAGTTGCTCAGGCCAGCCTGGCATCCTCTGTATCACACACCACTTTTTAGGTTGTCACATGCCACTCTTGATAAACATTGGCAAGCTTCAGTCGACCTTAAGTTTATAGTCTTAGATGATAAGTAGTAATTTTTGTAATTGTGAAGGCTGGAAAAACGGACAGTTTTTTTAAATTCTATTGATTTATATGTGAGTACTAGCTCATGGGGAGGATAAACCTGTCCTTAGCTTTAGACATAATGTATTTCTTTTAAAATACCCAATCCAGTAGGTTTATGCTAAATCACTTGCCAGGTTATCTGTAAAATAAGTTATGTGATTGGGGGGTTTTGAGGAGGGCGGGGGAATATATGCAACAGCACACACATTAGATGGTTTAAAATAAAATAAAATAAAATGTTGGTTCTGGATGGGAAAACAGAGCTGCTGGTCAGACGTCAAATGAAACCCTCGTTGTTTTTCTCTGCCTTCCTCCCCCATTCTGCGTTCTGCTAGTAGTACACCCATTGCAAGGGAGTTGTTATTTCAAAGCTTGTCTTCTACAGGAGAGGGTAGATTTTCTGGAGGGTTGCTTAATTGACTACCACCTTTTGGTCCTTTAAAATTCCCTACATTTGGGTGCAGAGTGGAGGAAGCTGTGGGGAACCTTCATCAGCCTGATGAACCACCTCTAGGCCTTCGCTTGGTGGAGGAGCTCTTCTTGCCAAGATCACTTCTTGCCGGTTTCCCTTCCTCCTTAGCCCAGCAGCTGTGCCTCCAGCAGGGAGACAGGCTGCCTTCCAGGGAACTTCCTTGCTCTCGAAAGCAGTGCTGAAGCTGCACACTCGGAGCACACTCTTGGGCAGTGGAGGACTCTGGCTGAAGCTGCACAGTGTAGCCATGCTTTCTGTTGTATATTTGCCAGAGAGTTCTGGAAGGTGAAAAAAGCAGCCCCCCTTTTAATTTAAATGCCCAGCAGTTTTCTAGCTCTCATGGTTATGAAGAAGTGCTTTTAAATATGCACAGAAAAAGCAGATGCAGAAAATTCTCTCTGTGTTTAGGTGAATTAATCCCGAAGAGGTGTAACACTGGCATTCTGCCTCCCTCCCTGCAGCTGCAGCCTCTCTGGCAAGGCTGCTGGCCTCCCCGCTCCTGCTTCACTAGGCCTGTGTCCCATAGGTGCCTTCTCCCTTCAAGTGCAACCCTCGGTGCCCAGAGCCTGCAGTTCTTCTCTTCAGTCGGTCGGCATGTGTTTCATCATTCTCAGCTAGAAATGTTGATGGCACCTCTGCAAACGTTTGCTAATCTAACCTTTGACCATTTTGCTGTCCGTTGCTTTGCTCATGTGGGCAAGTTCTGGGGCAATTGGGCACTGTCCAACATTTAGTGAAGGTAAGGAGTTGGAGGCTGCTAAGTGCCCTTGTCAACCCTGCCCAGCTTGATAAAACCTGTTGTTGTTGTTAGTCGTGAAGTCGTGTCCGACTCATCGCGACCCCATGGACAACACTCCTCCAGGCCTTCCTGTCCTCCACCATCCCCTGGAGTCCACCTAAGCTCACGCCGACTGCTTCAGTGACTCCATCTAGCCACCTCATCCTCTGCTGTCCCCTCCTTCTTTTGCCATCTATTGTTCCCAGCATTAGGCTCTTCTCCAGGGAGTCCTTCCTTCTCATTAGGTAGCCAAAGTATTTGAGTTTCATCTTCAGTATCTGCCCTTCTAAAGAGCAGTCAGGGTTGATCTCCTCTAGGACTGACTGGCTTGATTGCCTTGTGGTCCAAGGGACTCCCAGGAGTCTCCTCCAGCACCACAATTCAAAGGCCTCAATCTTTCGGCGCTCAGCCTTCCTTATGGTCCAGCTTTCACAGCCATACATCGCAACTGGGAAAACCATAGCCTTGACTATATGCACTTTTGTTGGCAGGGTGATGTCTCTGCTTTTTAGTATGCTGTCTAGATTTGCCATAGCTTTCCTCCCCAGGAGCAAGCGTCTTTGAATTTCTTGGCTTTGGTCCCCGTCTGCGGTGATCTTGGAGCCCAGGAAAGTAAAAACTTCTGAGTACTACTTCCGAGTAAAAGGCCATGCAGCCAGGCTGTGCAGTTCCCCTTTGGGTGAGGGGACTCTGGCACTGCTCTGTTCAGGATATTCAGGGCTGCTCTGAATCCTCTCTAAGCAGGTGAATTCTGATCACTCAGCCAGACTTCCTTAAATATCCATATTAACTGCCTGCTCTGACAGTGTTGAATGACCTTTGTAATGCTACTGGAGTTCCAGACAGCAGCAGTGTTCTCTAGGCAGTTGTAAATTTCCCCGAGGGACTGAGAACTTCACCTTGGAGAAAACCTTGCTCTAAACTTCCATTTAACTGCTTTCTCAGAATAAGACTGAATGCCTCGAAGCTCTTGTTGCTTGTATGCTTTTTTTGCCCATTAAATAAAAAGCATGAAAAATCTTAGTCTTAGCTGACTTAACTAAATTTGCCGAAGGTACCCAATCCACCCCCCCCCCCCCGGCGCCCCCTGGAAGCAACTGCAAAAGTCCTCCTTGCAGAAAGGGGTTGATCAGCAGGAATCATGTTTGAGTTGTAAATACTGGTGACATGTTTGACTTAAGGCCGAAGAGCAAAGTTTTGGAAGAGGCAGGTGCAGAGGGTTTTGAAAGGCCTTTTCATTACAGGGCTTTCTGTGTTCCAGGTGGTCGGCATCGGGGCAGGGCAGCAGTCCCGAATACACTGCACCCGCCTGGCCGGAGACAAGGCAAACCACTGGTGGCTCAGACTTCACCCACGAGTGCTCTCCATGAAGTTCAAAGCTGGAGTGAAAAGAGCGGAGATCTCCAATGCCATTGATCAGTATGTCACTGGGACCATCGGTGAGGTAAAACATGGGACATCTGCCTAAAGCATATGCAGTGTTAACTACAGTTCTTCCTTAAGTAAGCCTGTCTACATTTGAACATTGTGCAAAAACTGGCCAGAGCTGAAGTATTTGACCACTGAAGTTTATGCTTGTATTCTTCAGGGGTATGTTAGAAAGGTCCACGGGGAGGAGCTGTAGCTTCCTCATAGAGCACCAGGGCATCCCTGGTGGATGATCAAGACCAGGGTCATAGAGAGAGAGTTCCTGCTGGTGGGCTTCTTGAGATTGTCAGCTGGGATACTCTTCTTGACTGCCTGGCTGGAATGGGCCCTGGGAGCACAGCTTTGTGGTGGTTTGAGTTCTTCCTGCTGGAGAGCTTCTGCCTAACACCATGGTTGGCTTTGTTGCCTGTGGCATCTTGCAGGGGTCCATCTTGTTCCTCATTCGATCCCCATGGGCAACCAGGGCTGGTCATCCAGAGGTTTGGAGTATAATAATCAGCCCTAACACTCTTTCCCGTTTAAATACAAGGAGACTGTCAAGTTTTTAAACCATTAGATTAGGACGTGTCAAGAAAAAGAATAGTGAGCCATGGTTCTTGGCTGTGTGTACATACCTGTGTGTTCATTTGGTGTGGGGCTGCTTGTGCTAAATACTCTGTTTGGACACTGATGTTTGCTTTAATTCAGTGGAGAAGCACAAGCCAGGCCAAGCTAAGCAAATGAGTTTGAAATGCTCTGAAGGAGATGTAGTAGGGGACTATGTGTATCTGTAGGAGGGTTGCTGTTTTCTGGTGCCTTAGAACTGAATAAACTTTAGCTATAAATGTTCCAGAAAAGTGATACCACAGCCATAGAACAGGTGTGAACTTCAGTGACAGTCCTGCTGCTTAGAGTGGGGCATTGGAAGAAGTGTTCATAAGGCACTCCTGCCAGTCCTTTTGCTGTGTGCTGCTGCCTTGGAGTCCATCAGTCTAGCAGATAATTAAGCAATGCTGCCTTTTAGGATGAAGATCTTGTCAAGTGGAAGGCACTGTTTGAGGAAGTCCCAGCTCTGCTGACTGAGGCTGAAAAAAAGGCATGGATTGGGAAACTCAGTGGAGTCTCGCTCAGCTCTGATGCCTTCTTTCCTTTTAGGGATAATGTGGATAGAGCCAAACAGGTAAGCCTGTGGAACTGGAGATGTCTCTCTTTAGCATTATGGAGTGACGAGGACTGTAGTCTGGCTTGTGCAGCACAGGCACGACGTGTAGGCAAGATGCTCCATAGCAACCCATAGCTCAGATGAACGGATGAGACAAAGTCATCTGTCCACAGAAGGAAGCAGATCATATATATTTATGTATTGTTGGTATAATTTCTATACCACTGAATATTAAGAGAAGTCCCTCAGCAGTTTCCATATAAATATTAAAAAACAATTTTGAAAATAATGTGATGATTATGGTGGTGGAGATGATGGAGGGGTACATGAGCAGTAAAATGGAGCAACACCAAGTTTTCCACCCACAGGGTGGATGCATTTGCCAAGAAGACCTCCCATCCAAGTGTTACATGGCAACACTTCAATAAATTTGGAATGGCCAGCAAGACCCAATCACCTTAATGATCAGTTGAGCAAACATAAGGGGAGGCAGTCCTTAGAACGCTGGTCCTAAGTTGTATCAGTTTCTATGCAGTGAATATGGCCAGGATGCCAGTGTCGAGTCCATATGTTCAGACTCAGGCTGGGACCAAGCCTAAAAATCAGAGTTAGAGGATGCGCTAGTCACTTCAGACACTGCACCAATAGTGGTGTGCAAATTAGCTTAAAGGGAGCCATTTTGTTGTTGAAGTGTCTGCATACTTAGCACAGTGGGCCCCTGGGGTCCCAGTTTGGATTTACTGAGTCTGATGCAAGGAACCCCTGAACCACTTGGAAAAGATCAACTGGGTGCAGTGGAGGTGGTAGAGTAAGCTTTTGCTGCCTTCACTGCCTGCGGTAAGCACTGGTGTACACGTTTATGCAGACTTGGTCACTCTCGTGATGAGTCTTAAACCACCTCTGCTCTGGCCGCCCTCTACTTTGTTTCATTGGTCAAAGTGCCCCAGCAAACCAGGGAGCCTTCTGGGTTCCGCACAGCTGAGGAGGAGCTGTTGTGTGGGTGGCCTGCTGCACCTGGCCATTCCATCATGGGACAAGGGCCTCAGCAGGATCACCAGCTCTGGCCGCTGAAATATCTCCCAGAACATTCCGGGATCTCTTGGATTCCATAAGTCTCTAGTGTTGAACCATTTTCATGGGTCTCCCAGCACTGCAGGGAGGGGCTGGCACTGTGAGAGCAAATCCAGGTGGCTTACAATTAACCCACGGCACCTTCCAAAAAGGAAGCCTTGGCCTTCTGATACAGACCCACTGAGAAAAGCTACCGCAGAAAAGGCTGTGGGAGTGCTGCCAGCTCTTGTGGGGGGCATGCTCTGCTGAATGCTTTGTGCTGAATTGTACTTCTAGTGCGGTGTTTCTCTTCTTGTTTTCCCATCAGAGTGGTGTCCAGTTCATTGCTGCCCCATCTGGTTCGGCTGCTGACCAAGTTGTGATTGAAGCCTGCAACGAGCTGGGAATAACGCTCATTCATACCAATCTCCGTCTGTTCCACCACTGAGGTTCCCCAGGGCCGTTCCAGACAGCCCCTTTGCCCATTGCTCCGTTTATTAGTTTCAAGCTATGACAGCATCTTCTCAGTTTAAAAGAAGTTTAAGAATGCCTACTCTCTTTTTCGGTCTGTCGAGAACATCAATGGCTATAAGAGTACTAAAGCAAAATAGTTAACTTCTAAAGGATGTCCGAAAAATAAATGAACACAACTGCTGGTAATGTGTCTGAAGGGGAATTCTTTTGTGTGTTTGTAGTATGAATGTTGGGTTCATTAGCTTTTTGGTCAACAGAATCAATTGCTTGTTTAAAAATTACTATTTTTTATGAACTGATTATGGTATGAAGTGCACTGCAAACCACAAGAAAGCACCAAAATAGTCAAAAACAACCAAATGATGCAAGATTACTGAGGCACCAGTTTATTTTGTGCTAGGATGCCCAGTGTTTTGGAGAATCCCTGAAGAACACACCCCCTTGGAAGCAGACCCTCTTGGCACTTGAAAATTGGTTTGTACCAGACGTGTCGGTGTGGTATCAGCTTCCTCCTCAGCAGATGTCCAGACTAGTAGAAGAAGGCCAGGGAAGACATTTGTCACTGTGGGTGGCTTTTAACTGAGTTGTTAGCAATTATGCAGGTGGTGCAACTTGAAGGGGCATGTGTAGACACTAATTGTGTGCTTACCAGCCTCATAATCAGAAGCAGCTGTGTGATAGTCTTTTAATAATCTTTTACTAACATAGGAACAACCACGCTGGGAAGGAGACCTTCAGGTTTGTTATCATTCTTTCACTGTATTTATATCTTGCCTTTTTTCCTCTTGTGAGGAATTTAGGGCAGCTGACATAGTCCCATCTTATCCTCGATACAGCAACTATGTGAGGTAGTTTAGCCTGAGTCTGTGACCGGCCCAAAGTCACCCAGGGAGGTTTGTGGCCAGGGATAGATGTTAGGCGGACTACAATTTTTAACTCACTTGGTTATACTCATCTGTGTTCTATGTATGTTAATCTTTTTTTTTTTTTTTAGTACGTCTTCTCCAAACACACACACTGTAGAGACTGGTCCCTGTATTTCTGTACTGTCTAGTTCTATGCTCTCATGAGAGCAGGTGTGGTACAGTGGTGAGAGTGTTGGATGGAGATCTAGGCTTTGGTCCCCACTCAGCCACAAAGCTCATATCAATATCAATCAATCCTGTATTAGGTCATTAACCAGCCAGTAAATAAAACACAAAATGACAATTAGTTAAAAATAAGGAAAATACAGTACTTAGAACATTACAGTAATTCTGGTAGAACCTAACAACATTTAGGGTTAATTCTACCACGCACTGTACAGACCGCCAAACAATATTTGGCTGTAGTCAAGGAGATAAAATCAGATTGATCAGATAAAAGTAACACAAGGTAAAAAGAATCAGAGTAACTGGGATATTTAGAAAGGAGTGGGAATAACAATTCCTGGTGAGCACCTGTACAGAGAGGGCAGTAAATGCTCTCCAGCGATTCAATTGTTTCTCCCCCACATGGGCACAGTCTCTGTTCAAGGGATGTTTTTTTATATCTCCCTTCAGTAATGGCTGTTGGGAGGGCATTGAATCTGGCTAGAGATAAAGCCCTTTTTAATTTGGGGATAGTTATGCTGCTGAGATATCTAGCTGGTTGGGAAAGATGTGTGGAATGGTTCAGGAAGGTATTTCTGGATAAAACTGGATAATTGTAACTCTAGATCAATGGCCTGTTGTTTAAGTTCTGCTAACAGCCATACATAGCCCATCAAGGAGATAGCTGGCCTTGAATAACTGTATAATAGCAATTTGGCCTGTATTGCCTGGTTCATGAGCTCTGAAAGCTGTCGGTCAATATTAGAGGGACCAAACCAGCTGGGAAAAAGAGGAGCTTGAGCCAGTAAGAAAAGATGTGAATCCAGGCCAAAGTTTCAATTTTAAGAAGGCCAGATTCGTGTCAAAGGACCATGTTTGAGACTCAGTGGGGTGCTTGGAAGGTAGTCCTCAAGAACTTAAGACTCACTGGGTGACTTTGGGCCAGTCATTGACTTTCAGCTGAACCTGCCTTACAGGGTTCTTGTGAAGATAATCTTGGGAAGACGAGTGTGTAAGCCACTTTGAGTTCCATGAAGGAAAAGGGTGGAATATAAATAAATATGACTGAAGTAATCAAGATTTAAAAATCTGAAGCATTATTTTTCTAAAGAAGAAAAAATAAACTTCAGGTTCCTTTCAATTTGGTAAAATAATAAAAGAAGCTACAAGATAACTCTGGTGTTATTTTGGGAGGGTTTGCACTTAATTTGGATCCTTCAATCCAAATATTACTGGAGAGATGCATTTTAAGTGATAAAAGTAACTTCTGCCATGTTGACAGTGGACTATGCAGCAAGAGAAGGTAATGCTAGGGAAACAGCATGGGGGTGCACCTGTGAAATCTCCACTATGAAGCTTGCTTCTGCTTGCCACAATCAGATGTGTACTTTTAAAAACAGAGCTAATAGGTTTCCTTGATGTTTGAGATATTTGTAAGCATGAAAGAGACCAAAAGCACTGGCACCACTTCTAAAAGGTTTTCCTTCAAAGGAGGAGAAAATCAGCTCAAGACACATCTGTCTTTTGTAGGAAGTGTTTATGGTATCTACAGAGAGAGTAGCTTTAGACACATGCTAAGCTGGCTGTGTTGACCTGTGCAAAACAGACTGCTGCATCAGAGGGGTTTTTTATGTGAAACCAGCTGGTTTGTAATATTAAACTGGGAAACAAGAATTTTCCCTGGCAGCTTTTCCCAACCTGATGCCCATCGGATGTTTTGGACTACAACTTCCAGAGCTCCGGGGAGAGGCTGTGGCTCAGTGGTAGACCACATGGGTAACTGGTTCTGCCCCTGGTGTCCCCAGGTAGGGATATCTTGCCTAAAACCTTGCAGAGCTTCTGCTTCTTAGTGTCAGTAATACCACGGCAGTTGGACAAAGGGTCGGCTCAATTTAAGACAGCCTTTTCCATGCCTCTGCCCCTATCTCTAGTGGCCCTGCTTCCTGAGGTTGATGGGAGCTGAACCGCAAGTCATCTAGAGAACACCCAGTTGGGAAAGCTATCCGTGTCACAAAGCATCCAGGCCAGCAGCTGGTGTGCAGAAGCTCCAGCAAAGAACCTCCAATTCAGACGTTACCTGCCATCCGGTTCCTCCAAAATATTCTTGGTTTATGTAATAATAAATGAGACAGGAGTGCAGCTGCTTCAGGGAAAACATCTTCAGGCTTTCACTATTGAGATATAGCTCTATCTTTTCACTGTGCCAATGTTAAGATGATTCCAGTGAAGTCGAACTGAACCTGGAGTGAAGCCTGCACTCTCAGAGTCCTTAGGCCTCTCCGGCTCCTTTCCAGCCACTGCTCTGCAGGGGCTGGCAAAAGGGAGTCAACCTGTGCAAGCAGTGCTCTGATTTGTCCTTTGGATGGAAGGGTGTAACTGCAGCAGACTGACAAGCAGTTTCCACTTAAATGATTAAGCTTCACCCAAATCATGCAGGGAGCTAATCACAAGATGCAGCCTTACTTATCTTGTTCCCTGCCGCTGTACTGCTAGAGTAAGGCATGAACTGGGCTTTTGCTAACAAGGTCGGGGTGGAGAATCACCCCTCTCTTCTGCATGATCAGGTGAGGGACCCGTGGTAGACGAAAGAACATATGACGGGAGAGGTTCAAGACAGTTGGAAACCAAGGTTGTCGGGGCCACCATGACGTTATAAGAATGGCCCGTGCTCTGTCTCGAGCAGCCTTCTCCAAGGTGTGGGTGATCAGAGGGATCAGAGGGAAGGCATATAGGAAGGAGTCCGACCAGCTCACCATCAAGGTGTCACCCCATGAGTTCGGGTCTAATCCTGCCCTGGAGCAGTAGGTTTCGCACTTTGAATTGGAAGCTGTTGCAAACAGGTCCAGGGACGGAGTATCCCAACAGGAGAACAAGTCTTTGCAAAACTGGTTGTCCAGTTCCCATTCGTGGGTTGACGACATCTTTCTGCTGAGGGTGTCTGCTTCTTCGTTGTCCACTCCTGCCAGATGGATTGCGAGGAGGGAGATCCCTCTGGGAATACACCAGTCCCAAATCTGCAAGGACAGATGGGCCAGTGGTACCGACTTCATGCCGCCTTGCTTGTTTATGTAAAAGACAGTGACTACGTTGTCAAAGGCTACCTGCACCGACCGGTTCCGTAGGGTAGGTTCAAAAGAACATAGCGCCTTGAACACTGCCAGTAGTTCGAGGAAGTTGAGATGGTTGGACTTCTCATGAGCCTGCCAGGTGCCCTGGGTATGTAGGTTAGAGCAATGCGCTCCCCAACCTTTGAGGGAAGTGTCGGTATGGAGCGAAATGGAGGGTTGCCACTGCTGAAACAGAATGCCCACTGTATGGTTGTCGGTGTTTGTCCACCAAGACAGGGTCTGGCGAACCGAGGCGGGAGGTAGGAGTAGTCGTCTCGGGGAGTCAGATCTAGACCTGCCTTCCAGTGCAAGTCTATGTCAGGACAGCACCTACAGCCAGCCTGCCAAGGAGAGTCTCCAAGTGCCTGCACCCATGTTAATGTCTGTCTGCTGACACACCAGCTCTAGCAGTTTCATCTCCACCAGGTGCTGGTCTTCGAATTATCCATTCCAGGCCAGGCTCCCCCAAAATGCAGCACAGAATTTGCCGCTGCAAAGATGGCAGTTAAGTTCCGGGGGAACAGGAGCTTCTGGGCAGGGTGGGGGCCGATGCAGCCCTGTGAGCGGCTCCACTGCAGTACTGCTTCGAGGGTTGCAGACAACACCTCGCTCTCTTCTGCAGAACAGCCCTCTGATGAGTGGCCATTCTTCTTTCCAGAATTCTCCAGGAGCAATACATGCAATACAGACAACTGTTCAATACTGTTGTTTTCATCCCTTGGCTCATCTTCACTGCTCTGCTCGGCTTTAAAGTACAGCACTGAGAACTGGGCACACAAGGCAATCAAGACTGGTTACTGGAGACCAGCATAGGTCTACTTCCCACAATTTGGAAGGTGATTTTATTTATGTATCTGAAATCATATTGGCCTTCTGTGCAACTGTATCACACTGCTGCTATGAAGCGCATGATGAACTACAGTTGCAGGATCTTTTTCACATCTGCTGCTGTGAAGTCTCACATCCTTTCTCTCTCTCTCTCTCTCTCTCTCTTTCTTTTTCAATTTAC